TAATATCGTTAGATTTGATTAAAAATACGCATTCTACTTGTTAACATCATAAATTGTGATATATTGCAGTCTCCGTGGTGTAGTGGTAAGACACTCGCCTGGCGTTCCGCGAGCGCTATGTCATGGGTTCGTATCCTGGCCGGGGAGGATTTACTGGGCGCAATTCCTTAACTGTAGCCTCTGTTTAACGCAACAGTAAAATGTGTACTTGGATGAAAAAACGATTCTTCGCGGCAGTGGATCGTATTCCAGGGACCATAGGATTAAGGACTTGCCCGAAACGCTACGCGTACTAGTGGCTGTACAAGAATGTAACAACTCTTGTATATATCTAAAAAAAAATTAAATTTGCGATAATTTGAGCAGAGAAGTTCGACGACTGGATCACTGTGTACAGAAGGGTGATATGCCAGCAAACACTTTCCAGAGAGCAATATATCTTGGATAAGTCGCTCCACGATATTGTTGCTTGGACCATCGACTTCCTTTGATATTACATATTTACATCTTATTTTGTTTTGAAATGATATTTTTTCAGAGTAAAATTATGTTTTCTCATTTTCTGCATCTAGCATCCACATTATAGTGAGTAAATATACCATATTACTTCATTGCTTACGTAATGCTAGGAAGGTTTGAGTAGCTTTGGGTCTTTAGTGGACAGAATCTCCAATAGATGGGGCGAGAGTCGCCTCATCTCTCTCGACCGGGCGGGACTCGAAACTTAAATTAAAATTGCTATATCATTGGTCTCCAACATGATATATTTCCTTTGATGCACTCACAATAACGATTATAGCTCTGTCTTTCTGGAGGCATGTAATATTTTAGGCTTTATTAGCGTATCTTTGTTAATTACACAACATATTGGCAAGTGCGTAGGCGTCTGCACTCCATGACCGAAAAGCTACTGAACGCCACTATAAAAACATATATATCTTTACTTGAGCTTTAAATATGTCTAATGTAATGTATTTAAAATAAAGCTTATATTTCTATCTTTCTTAAGACGCGTAAAACATTTGTGTTTATTAACGAATTTACGTAAAATAAACATTCTTCTGAGAGAGTTGCTCTGTCGCTCAGTCTATGCGGGGGTCGGAGCTCGGCGATTATTAAAATACATGAATCTTCATTAGAACTTTAATTATGTCTATGATAAAGTGTTTAAAATGAGCCTTATATTCCTATCTTTCTTGAGGCATATAAAAATTTACGATTATTTACAAATTTACGTGAAATAAGCATTGTTCTGAGAGAGTTGCTCCGTCGATCGATGTGTCTGGAGTCGGAGCTCGGCTATTATAAAAGTACACGTATCTTCGCTTTAAATTTAAATATGCCCATGGTAAGGTATTTAGAACGAAGCTTATATATCTGTCTTTCTTGTGACATATAAAACTCTTACGTTTATTAAGGAATCTGCGTGAAATAGGCATGGTTCTGAGATGAATGCTGCGGTTTTCGAGTTTGACGAGCGATGAAAACTGCCACTTTTATACAACTACAAATATCTTCGGTTTTACTTAAAATATTTGTCTGGTAGAGGTTTTACATATAGATCGCGTTTCTGTCTTTCTTCTGACTAATAAATAATTTTGGTTTAATCAGTTATCAAGATGTTTTCAACAATATTCTTTCAGCGTTCGTCTTTTCCAACTTGGGCGACCCTTTTGGAAGCGCGATACTTGGGTTAACCCATCCTATAGTTGGGTTTGTTTCCAACTGGGGTTCGAATATCGTCACCCGACTGGTGAAACTGTACAGTCGTCCCTGACGTCACTGCCCAGGCTTCACTCTTGCTAAGCACCTGTCACTGGAGCACTTGTTGCTCGTTTCCCGTCAATTCCTTCTTCTGTCCGCCTCACGGAGTTCAGGAAGACCTCACAGGATGCTCGGAGACCACTGGTGATGCGTATATTCACCGGAGAGGGGCGAATACTGTCAGACTGACAGGACCCCCTATCGCACGTCTGCCCTTAGCGACGTGTCGTATCTAACTCCCCGCGCCACGGGGCGCATGGTCCCGTCTTACCTCCACTCGTGACGTCACACTTGCCAGGGGCGTTTCTCATTGGCTCGCTGTACCACGTCACCGTTCTTGGCCAATCTGGTACTAACTGACGTCATAACATTTTGGCGCGAAAGTAGGAGTCGGCGCCATCTTGGCGTCCAAGAGGGCCTAAGCCACTGGCCAAAACACTCTTCTTTAGTTAATTTCTCTCCTATGCGAGAACACCTCATGCTCCCACATGTCAAATTGTTCTCAGGATGTTCTCAGGAAGGCAGAGAACATTCGGGTAAAGTAGATATGACTCTTACAGCTGGCGTGGGAGAAATATAAGGGGGGGAACACCGTCACAATATGTTACTGCTTGAGAGCACAAAAAGTATTCTGAGGACTGACCAGTGCTTATATATGTGACCAGGCCTAGTGTAGATGGTACTGATGTTATCTTGAGATCTTGAGGTTATCTTGAGATAATTTCGGGGCTTTTTAGTGTCCCCGCGGCCCGGTCCTCGACCAGGCCTCCACCCCCAGGAAGCAGCCCGTGACAGCTGACTAACACCCAGGTACCTATTTTACTGCTAGGTAACAGGGGCATAGGGTGAAAGAAACTCTGCCCATTGTTTCTCGCCGGCGCCTGGGATCGAACCCAGGACCACAGGATCACAAGTCCAGCGTGCTGTCCACTCGGCCGACCGGCTCCCATCCGGCAGCAAGATTTTGGATGTAATAGACTCCCATCCCATCCCATCCCGACCGGCATGTGCAGGTAACTACCACCGGCAGTCTTAAATAAGCGGTTAGTGGCTGGTCGACCGACGAGTGGAGTTGGCCCCGGACAGCAGGATGTCCAGGTGTCGCGGGTACTTGAGGGTGGAGGGGCTTCTTGGCTGAAGACTGAAGCATCACAACACAGGCTTCTGAGCACGTGTTGTTGCTAATGTTGATTCCTTATTCTGGAGCATGTAGATATGTTGGTGAATAGGCGGTAAAGGAATAGGCAGGATCTACTGCCGAAGCAGGAGATTACCATAACAATATATATATATATATATATATATATATATATATATATATATATATATATATATATATGAATAATAAATAAATAAATGTTTATTTAGGTAAGGTACATACATACAGGAGATTTTTACAAAGATTGGTGGACTTATAGATAGAGCTAGTACATACAATGCCTAAAGCCACTATTACGCAAAGCGCTTCGGGCATGAAAAACTTAAATGACTAAAGCTTAATACTAATTGAGCATAAAGAGTAAAATGAAAACAAGAAATGAGAACATAGCTGAAAAAGCAGCACAAATACAATTCTGTCGACAAACAGCGCTCTTTAAAAAAAAAACAGACATTGGTTGACAATAGACGGGTAAGGTAGGTTACAGGGAATTTATTAGGTAGTGCTTCGTTTTTATCTTAAACTGGTTGAGAGAGGTACAGTCTTTAACATGGTTGGGAAGGTCATTCTACATTCTGGGCCCCTTGATTTGTAGAGCATTTCTAGTTTGATTAAGTCGTACTCTAGGAATATCAAAACTATTTATTTCTGGTGTGGTGCTCATGGGTTCTGTTACAACCTTCTATGAAGCTTTTGAGGTCAGGATTGGCATTACAGTTTAGCGTTTTATATATGTATAATACACATGAGAGAATGTGCAGTGACTTAATGTCACTGCACATTCTCTCATGTGTATGTATATGTATGTATGTATATGTATGTATATATATATATGTATATATATATATGTATATATATATATATATATATATATATATATATATATATATATATATATATATATATATATATATATATATATATATATATATATATGTAATGTATGTATATGTATGTATATATATATATATATATATATATATATATATATATATATATATATATATATAAAAGGCAAACGTTTGCCTTTTGGAGTGAAACAATGTGAGGGAGAGTGGAAGAGTGTGGGTAGTGTGATGGAGAGTGGAACTGGATAGTGTGAGGGAGAGTGGAAGAGTGTGGGTTGTGTGAGGAGTGGAACAGTGTGTGGGATGTGTGAGGGAGAGTGGAACTGTGTGGGATGTGTAAGGGAGAGTGGTAGTGTGAGGGAGAGAGGAGCAGTGTGAAGGAGAGTGGAACAAAGTGTGGGTAGTGAGAGGGAGAATGGAACAGTGTGAGGGAGAGTGGGAACAGTGTGTGAGGGAGAGTGGAACAGTGTGAGGGAGAGTGGAACAGTGTGTGAGGGAGAGTGGAACAGTGTGTGAGGGAGAGTGGAACAGTGTAAGAAGAGTGGAAAAGTTATGGTAACGTGAGGTAGTGTGGCACAGACCCCGTAATATTAGTTGGTTATATAATGGTAACTGCCTCGTGTACCAAGCCAGTAAGCCTTCCACAAGGTCGGTAATTCTTGTCGTTTTGGATATAGGAGCTGCCTTATACACATGGGCAAATAGGCCTTCCAAACCTGTATTTTTTTTTTAATTGTAATTGATTGTATTTGATTTTAGGGGGTTTGTTTTGGGTTATGAACCCGCTGAAGCTGTATTTACCAAAACTGTTACATTTTAAAATTTAACTGGAACAAATTATCAAGGCAAATGGGGGTAACCTTTGCCAAGCCGCCGGCTTCCTGTATTCGTCGAGGCCACTAGTGTCAGTGGCCTTCAGATAAATTCAGGTATGAGACTTATGAATCTCATTATATATAGAATTCTGTGGGTGATGGAGGAAATGTTATTTACATATTATTTATTACAATATATTATCACGAAAAAAAAATACAGTATAAAGACATTCCACATCACGAAGAAGAACCATCACCTTAGTTTGTGTTCGATTCCATTATATACTGTATATACGTTTAAATAAATGACTAGGTACATGTAGAATATGATTTATTGTTATATATGTAGAAAATATAAGATAAACATAATAATAAATTAGCTTGTTATTCAAAATAGCAGATTACCACGGGCCTCGGGACGCGGTCTGTTTGTAAACAGACAAGCTGACGGGCTATGGGGGGCTGGGCGCAGCAATTCTGCTGACTTGCACCAGAATTACTAGGTAAAACCTTATTATTGTAAAAAAAAATCCTATAAACTTAGCATATAAATATCAAAGAAATAATAAATTAGATAAGCAGTAAAAGAGAAGAAGCTGAGGTTAATTATATAGTTGTGAATGTAGCAAAGCTCCTGTCTTCTTGATAGTAGGTGCAGTTTGCATGAAGGGTTTGTCCTTCCGATGACTGCACGCTCCTGTCAAGACAGTGCAATGCTAAAGGGGTGGAGGGGGGGGGGAGGGGCGGTCCATAGGAGGCCAGTCAAAAGATCAGCGCACCACATTTAACGCCTCACTGATCCTTATCATTATCTTATAAAAAGCAGAATATGGCCTGCAGGAAAAACACCTCTACTTGTTGCAGGAACAACAGGTAAGTCCTCTATGGGCTCACCATAACCTGTGCTACTTGGATCTTCTTGTTTCGAGTAGCTGAATCTAAAACAACTGCAGGAGCAGTATACTATGAACTCAGCTAGAAGACTGAAGCATCACAACCTACACCAGCCTACAAACTATGCTGTGTCATATTGACATCACATCTTGAGCACGCTATATAAAATTCAAAATGTTATACAGCACTATATATTATTTTTTCTTAGGTTTGATTAAAAAGTAGCGATATAGCAAATTCAATTTGTTAGAGCTCCTAGACCTACTTGCCTTATATCAATCTCTACCTCAGCCTCTCAACAACATCCAGTAATCATACTAGCTTAGTGCTTCCTGATATTAATTACTTACCTAGGTTGTTTGAAGTGTAGGTTAAACATATTTTATGAAATAGTTAATTGGGACTTGATGTATGTGTTAAATATTTGCATCATTGAATAGTATAATTATAAGAATATAAACTAATTTCAGTATCTATTATTCCAGTATCATTTATATATGACAGAATTATTTAGTGCACGATGGCTGGATTTGGCTTAGAAGAAATCGGCATCCCAGGAGGGGTGTATCTTAAGGAGTCACTCACACACTGTACAGATCCTCTAAAGGCTATAGAAGAGTTTCAGGTAAATAAAATATTTCTGTCCAATATTTTGCAATATTAAGTTATATTAAAGCTTAGATTGCTGTAAACGTGTTAAACCTCTTAGTACAGTCAGAATTAACAGTGGTCTGTACTAGTTTTCATGTATATTCCTGTTGCACCGTACTAGTTTTTATGTATTTCAATGTACATACCCTTATGAATGCATTTTTGTATACTGTATATCCCCTTGAATATACAGTATATTCAAGTACATAATACTGTGCTCCATATATATACAGTATACCCCCTCAGAGATATGCCATTTATGTATGGGGTACAGTATTACGTAAGCAATAGCCCCTGTCCAGGCTTGGGGAGAAAAACTCTCAGAATTCACTCCAGGTAAGTAATAGACTAGAACTGTTATATGGTACTGTTCTACTATAGGTTTATTTTGGCTAACATTTTATGCATAAAGGTTACATGTAGGAAATTTATTATTTTCAGGAATAAGTGATAAATATTTCCATATTGATTTATTTTCAATATTTATTTACACAATACATGTATATTAATAAGAAAGAGTCCCATGGTAGCTATGAAATGTCAGTCATGTAAAATGTACCTCCTCTGAAATTGGCAAATAGAAGACTTTTACATATGCAATTTTTCAATACCATAGCTATTAAATGTCTTGATGAACTTTTTTTCTTTCCCCAAGAATGAATTTTCATTAGAATAAACTTTCAAAATGCCTTATGCCAATTCTTTTCAGGAGGATCCCCTTTAATTTATATTAAGTTTCTGGGGGAAGCCCCGGCGGCTCCCCGGAGCTTTACCGGCTGATATGCTAATGTCAGACTTTGGCATCAGTCATGTGTATGGAGTTCTAGGGCCTACCGGGGACCACGGCCAGAACCTGGCCCCCTCAGAGAGGCAAGGGGAGCAATGGCCTATAGAAACCCCCGTGTGGTTGGAAGCATTCTATGTCTGCCATCAACCGGGTCAAGCATCCAGAAAGGTAAGCATTCCAAAACAAACCCCTATTCTGGTGAAAATTGCTACCTAAAGCCGAACTAGTGGATAGAACTCTTCGACAGAAAACAAAGAAACTAGTATGACGTCATACGTCACCGCGCCGCTGTCTGCGCAGCTCCCCCCTCCCTGGGAGGGGGAATAGGAAGCCCCAGACCTCCCACGCCGGCTATCCACCCATCAGTTCTTCGGCTGATGCTATAGGCAACGGTTATGTGCTCCGGCTCCAGTGGTTGTTTCAGCACTGTACCTAGAGTGTGGTGTCTGTTTTCTAGGTGGTGCGTGAGCCGGGAGTGATTCTCCAGTACTCGGGCTGCATGCGCCTAGGGTTCCCTTCCCTAGGTGCCCTGTAAGTACTGCCCTTGGGGCTTGGGGCCACCTTCCACAAGTTCCTTGGGTCCTGCCCCTGCTTGGCCGTTTACTGCTTGGTTTTCGGCCGCTCTTTGTGTGCTCGGGTGTTCTGTCTCCCTTGTTCGCCTTAGAGTAAGGGGCAGTTTTTGCACTGGTGGGGCACAGGGTACTGTGCAGCTTGTCTTTACCAATCATAGCGGCCGGCTCTGTTCCGCTTGGGTACGCTGTCCTCTTGGGGGGTTTTCTTTTTCTTTTTGTTTATCTACCTGGTGGGGGGGTCTGCCTTCGTTCTTGCCCCTTGTGTCCCTTGTGTTCTGAGTATTTTCTGGTGGTACCCCCTGCTAGGTCCCTGTGAGTGTACACGTCCCGGGGGTTCAGCTCTTAGAAAGTTGTTTGGTAGCTTTAGGTGCCGGTTAGCAGTACCCTGCCTAGGATTACCTGAGCGCGAGTCCTCTTATAGTAAACGCTCGGGACCCTGGGAAACCCCTGGGGGCGCGCAGGTCCGATGGATGTGACCCCAGAGTCCCATCCCCCTCGCTTCCAGCGAGTTTGAGGGTTGCTCTCACCCTTTGTCTCTGGGTGACTCTCTGTTTTGCCTCCGTCTGCTGCCTGTGGGGTCGGTGACACCTTCGACCCGGAGTCCTGCGAGTTTGGTTGCTCGTTGTGGCTTGGTTACCCAGTTGTGCTGACAAAGCGGGTGCGGGCAGCAGGGGCGTTGCACTTGAGCCTTGGTGGTGGCAACGTTCTCGTGGTGTCCTCCCCGGGAGCCCCGGGGCTGCCCCGTTGTAGTTCGTTTTGGGACTTGAGGGTGTTGGTTGCTTCGGTTCCATCCACGCCCCCTTGTCTTTCCCCTGGTTCACCCTTCCTGCCTGCATCCGGTTCCTTACCGTCTGTAGGTTCGGGGCGGGGTTTTTGATGGTGTTGAGACTCGGGAAGTCTCGGGGAATTTCCCTTCCGGGGTAGTGACGGGGGCATTTGAGCCTGTTCCTCCAGCCGTGTTGTATGAGTCTGCCAGTGGGCTCCCTTCCTTAGTGTTTTCACGGCTGCCCCGGTTTTCTGGTACGGCCGGGGCTTTGGGGGAACGCCTCGGCCCCGGGGCCTGTCGTGTAGGTTCCCGGGGCTGGGGAGGGGCTGGCTTGGAGGGCCTTGGCCCTGTTGGACCCCGTGGGGGTTTTTATCCCCCTCTAGGCGGGGCTTGTGGTTACGCGGAGTGGGGTCTTTCCTCCCCACTCGCCGTACGTGCTGTTGGGCGTCGGCCCCTCCCCGGGCTCGGTTCCTTGGCCTTTGAGTCGGTTGGTTCCGTCCTGTGGGTGGATGTTTCCTCCCACCCCTTTTTGGGACGGTGTTTTCGTCATGTTTCCCCGTTCGATGGGGTTCTGCGTGACTTCTGATCTCGGGTGCGCCTGCGCCTTCGTGTGCCTTCAGGACTAGTGTTGGCTTCTGTGTTCTCGAGGGTATGGGAAGGTTTTTCGCTACTTCCCGCATTATTGGAACGTCTGTCGGCTCCTCGACCTTGTTTGCCCTGTTGGGCTCCTTGTCCCCTGGTTGGGCTCCTTGTCGCCCTGTTGGGCTCCTTATCGCCAGGTTGGGCTGCTTGTCGCCCGGTTGGGTTCCTTTTTGGGCTCTTTGCTTCTTTGGCCGGTTTTATTGTTCCTGCTTCCTCTTTTGGCTACTTTTCTCGTGCAGTAGTCCTGGCTGGCGCCTTCCCGCAGAGAGGGTGTGCGGTTCGGCCAGCGTGTTATGCGCATGCGCCGTAGAGTTTGTTTTGGTCTGGGCAGTGTTTCAGTGCTGGTGTTCTGCGCTCTTTTTGCTACAGTGCTTCGCCTCTTGTTCTTCTCCCTGGCTGCGGTATGTGCCCCTTCGCGCCGGGGGTGTCCTGGTTCCCAGTTGTGGGGAGGACACCACGGTTTTCCCTGTGTCATGGGTGTTGACCACCTCCTTCGCCTCTCCCTGCTCTCCTGCGGGTCCGGCAGGGTCTGGCTCTGGCGTCTTCACCTGGCGGTGCTCCCAGGTTCTTCTGGGCGCGGTTGAGTCGTGTCAAGTTCGTGCCACCGTTCGCCAGGTGAGTTTCTGCGTTCTGGAGGGGTCCAGGGTTTGTTGGTGCTTCGTTGGTCGGGCCGGGGGTGTGTCGTTTTTTGTGTTCAGTGGCGGCCCTCCGCTGTTGTTTGCGTGCCACGGCGTTTGGGTCCGGAGCGCGTTTTGCGTTGATCCGGTTCTGTTCTTCCCGGTTCACGGGTGGTAGTGTCCCAGGTGGTCAGCCGTGTTCTTGCGGCTAAGCTGCCTGTGTTCTTCCCTCATGCCTGTGGCGTTCGTGGCTAAGCTGCCTGTGTTCTTCCCTCATGCCTGTGGCGTTCGTGGCTTTGCTGCTCTCACTGCCGTCTGGGCGACGTGGCCTTGCGGTCTTTCGGGCATGGATTTTTGGTGTTCGTGCAGGGGCCTTGCTGCTCGTTGTTCTCGTGTTGTTCCCGAGACTTTTCAGGGCTGTGGCGCCTTGAGTTGGCGTTTGCTGCCGGTTGTCTCGCCTCCTTGGGGGGTGCGTGGTGTCCGCCTCCCGGTTCTGTCCCTTTGACCTTCCTCTGTGGGTAGTTAGCTCCGGGGAGCCGACGGGGCTCCCCCCAGAAAACCAGCGTTGAATGTAATGAAACGCCATTTTCTGGGTGAGACTCGAAGGCTCCCCGGCAACCCTCCCTCCCTCCGGTCGGCGTTTTTTCGCATGTTTTGACATCCAGCCTCAGAACTGATGGGTGGATAGCCGGCGTGGGAGGTCTGGGGCTCACCCTTCCCCCTCCCGGGGAGGGGGGAGCTGCGCAGACAGCGGCGTGGTGACGTATGACGTCATACTAGTTTCCTTGTTTTCTGTCGAAGAGTTCTATCCACTAGTTCGGCTTTAGGTAGCAATTTTCACCAGAATAGGGGTTTGTTTTGGAATGCTTACCTTTCTGGATGCTTGACCCGGTCGATGGCAGACATAGAATGCTTCCAACCACACGGGGGTTTCTATAGGCCATTGCTCCCCTTGCCTCTCTGAGGGGGCCAGGTTCTGGCCGTGGTCCCCGGTAGGCCCTAGAACTCCATACACATGACTGATGCCAAAGTCTGACATTAGCATATCAGCCGGTAAAGCTCCGGGGAGCCTCCGGGTCTCACCCAGAAAATGGCGTTTCATTACATTCAACGCTGGTTTTTTATAATTAACTGCCAAATTCAAAAACATTTCCACCTTTTATTTGTATTTTACTGTACTGTGCTTTTTTTCTGGCATTTTAGGTAGAAAATGGAATCCTTCTGCCATCACTCAGACCCATGCTGCACCTTTTGGACCTGCATGGAGTCAAACGACTTGACTTCCACAATTCTATCATGGAGGTGAGATTTAGTGTGACCTTCATTCTTTAAAGATATGTACTGTATTTGGTTTTGCTTTTAATGTGCAGTACAGTGTATGAATTATATTTACCTGAATAGTTATGCTGTGTATTGTACTGCATAGTATGAGAGGAACTAGTATCATATGCAAAGGTTTTTTGCACATTGTACATACAGTACTTTAATGCAGAATTCCATAAATAATTAAGAAATGATTTATGCCAGAAGTAAAATTTAAGTATTTATTATTGAATGTTTAAACTGAAGTTCAAGGTATATCAGCTGACCATAACTACTCGTGAAGGTATAAAAAAATGCCAAGATGAGAGTTTTAGCATTTCTCTACTGGAGAAAAAGTAGAGATAAACTCTTAACTGGAGATAAAATTTGACTTTTAAGGGTTTAATGTCTCGTATTTACAAATATACATATGGAAAGTACTAGATGGTCAGGTTCCAAATCTGCACAATTAAATTACAGTATACTGGGATGAAAGACATGGTGGGAAGTTTAAAAGAAATCCAATGAAAGATCGAGGCATCATTGGCACAATTAGAGAACACATTTTAAATATCAGAGGTTCATGAATCTTCAATCTCCTATCGACAATTATAAGAAATATTATTAAAGAAAAAATTAAACTTTCAAGAAAGAAGTTGAGTTTCTACTGAGGATTTTGGATCACCCTAGCTGAGACCACTGTGTGGCCCCATAGTCTACAGAGACCAACGTTATAATAACCAAGGAGGCTACATGAGATGAACTATTGAAATTGTGTATAAGCCTTCAGATTTTATAAAGTCCTTACAGCTGAAAATTTATCTCCAGATAGTCTGCTGTCAACTTGGTGTTTCTATTCATCTTTCTAAACTCTTTGTGCTCTCCTCAATAAACTGTACCTTGTTTATACCTTGTTTGAAGGTATTGTTTGGTTTCCTGTATCTTCTCAGATATCTATATAAGCAAATCTTACTATGATTTAAGCTTCAAGTGAGAAATTAAAAATATCTGGTTTGTGTTTACTTTTAGTTTATATTAAGTTATTTATGTATAATACATATAACTGATCTAGACAGTTTTATCGAGCTATTTATTTATTTATTGAGTTTCATTGAACTAAATTTTTGATTGAGTTCTCACTAAGAGAAAAGTGCTAAACTGCTAATGCTTCATTAGCTCAACCAATAAGGCTTATATTCCTTTTTCTATTAGGGTATTATGCAGATCAATGATCTGAAATTATCTGAAAAGCTGTCATCATTTAAACATTATTGTTGAAGCAACAAATTATAAAAACACTATTCCTCGTTACTCATTCAGACCATTTAACAAAGGAGTTTTGTAGAGTCAGTACTATAATATACTGTACATATTTATAATATATTTGCACCTGTATTTTTGTCTTACAGGAACTACGAGACAAGTTAATATCTCAGATTACTGAATTAGGAAAACGTGAGGGCAGAGATAGGGACCGTAAACTGAAGGAGCTACTCACCAAAAGTTTTCCTGTGATCAAGATTAAAGCTCTTCGTCCTGTTGTCATGTGCATACTGAAGCACATGTCTCATGTTGAGGACAAGTATCTGAAAATATTGGTAAATACTTCTCTATTTTTTTAATGTTATTGGATATATTTAATTGCATTTATTAACATTTTGAGGTGTATCATGGTTTTCTTTTCATTAGCACTCCATTATATTAATGTTTTTAATTTAACTCTTCTGCTTCTTTTATATTTAAGCATTAGTAATCATTAAGTCATAAATTGCTTGGCTCAGATTGTCACGGAATAACTTTCTTGCTAAAAGATATGGGATTATATTTTTCCCTTAAGTAGTTATTATGTTTACACAAAAAATAATAATAATATGGCTCCACTTGATGTTCTGTTATATTAAACTGCCTGCTATTTAAATAGTTCTGACTCTCAGTAGGCTCAAATGGGTTTCAAAGGCCTGGTGCGATGCCGTAAGGCTCGCCAGCCACGGTGCACTACTTCAGGGAGCTACTAATTGGCATTCTATGCATGATTTTTGGTACTTCAGAAATCCAAAATTTATTGAATTGTTCCTATGGGGGAATTATGTACAGAGTTCTGACTGATAAACTTGCAATGGAAAATTAGAAATGCATTCCTGTCATAAAATTGGGCTTCTTGGACATTCAGTGCTTGGTTTTTGCTCTTCAGAGCTGATTAACAGATGGAGTAAAGTTAATATAACGCTAAATTGGCACAAGTTCATTGTAAATATTGTGTTACTCTGTCTCTACACTTACTTTCTTCAGGTACGAGATAGAGAGCTATACGAAGCATGTGACACAGAGGTTAAACGTCAGATATGGAAGGATTCACAAGCACTTTTTGGAGATGAAGTTTCTCCTCTATTAACAGGCTACATTACAAGCAAAGAAGACACTCTCTTTAATGTAGAAAATCTTAATAATTTATTTTTTAGTCCTTCACCAAAGGTTAGTAAATGTAGCACAAATAAATAACTTGTTCTGTTTAAATTTTGATATATTCTTTATATGCACTTATTATACAAATTTGTAAGTCTAAAAGTTTATTGATAAATTATTAGGAAGGTACAATGGGGCCTCGACTTACGATGCTAATCCGTTCCCAGAGACGGATCGTAAGTCGAAATATCGGAAGTCGAAGCGATATTTCCCATAAGAAATAAAGGGATTTGAATTAATCCGTTCCCCACTCTCCAAAATATTAACATAAAAATACATTTTATACTGAATACAATGTTTTTTTCTAACTTCAATACAGTACCAAAGTTACTCTTACCTTTATGGAGGGCTCTTGATGGCGTATGGGAGATGGTGATGGGGGAGGAGGAGAGTTGTTACTGTTTGGAAGGGAAGTCCCCTTCCATTATCACATCAGACAGTGATATTTTCTCTGGGGTACTCTCTCTCCTACGTTTTGCCTGAATACCACTAGGACCTGGTTGTGGTTCAGTGCTTGTTTGTCTCACTACAAATTTGTCAAGAGACAATTGTTTTTCCATTCGCTTTAACATTTGTCTGTAATGATGCATCACTTTAGCACCAATAATGTCCTTTTTCTTAGCTAGTATGGTGGATATCGTTGACTGAGATTTGTTGTACTGCCTAGCCAGTTCACCTACCTGCACACCATCTTCATATTTATGAATGATCTCTTGTTTCTGCTCTATGGTTATTCTTACATGGGATCTCATATGTTGAGCCTTACTACTGACTTTCCTGGGACTCATGGCATATTATATAATAATTACTTTAATGTTCAAAATGCAAAAAATCACCACAAAAGCGGAATTTCTTATAGGCGCGATCGTCACTAAGCGGGCAGCTATAGTAAACTGAGGCAGGTCGGACCGCGTAACCGGGAACCATGCGCTCGGCCGACCCGAACGTGTACCAACAAATATCGGATGTCGAGTCGCATTTTTCGATGAAATTTATATCGTAACTCGAAATTATCGTAAGTAGTCGTCGTAAGTAATCGTATGTCGAGGTGCCACTGTATACTGATTTGGCCTTACTCATAAAAGCACTGCTTCTAGTGAAGGATAGTGTCTTGTCTCAATTATCTGTCACACATTCTCAGAATGCATGTACAGTACTGCTTTTAAATTTCCCTTGTGGGTTTCTCTCAATATATTTTCTCCTTGCTATATACCAGGTGTATATTCAATGTTTAAATTTTACAGATATATTTATTATTATTAATACTGTACTGTATTATTATTACAGTACAATATTATTATTTTGATTGTGTTGGAATGTTAGGAAGAGTAACCTTAGGAATGTGCTGTAAAGATAAATGAAAGGAAGTGCATAGAGAAGACATTACCACTTGAAATTAATTTAAATGATTAACTGTATTTTTGTAATTTAAATGATTTTTCATTTTTAATTCAGATGTATATTTCATTTATTGTTTTCCTCTGTAGGCTCGTCGTCAAGGTGAGATGGTGCAGAAGCTAGTGCACATGATTGGCAAGAATGTGAAGTTGTACGATATGGTTCTTCAGTTTCTACGCACCCTCTTCCTTCGGACACGATTCATTCATTATTGTTCTCTACGAGCAGAGCTACTTATGGCATTACATGACAAAGAAGTCCATGATATAATTGCTGTTGATCCATGCCACAAGTTTACTTGGTGTTTGGATGCTTGTATCAGAGAAGGCAAGGTAGATGCCAAAAGGTGAGGCAGTATCCGTTTTGTTTTTCACAACTTTTTATTTTCAAAAAGCAAAAATATTTTATAAGGTCAGTGAAGAAAGAGATTAAAAAAGCTATGTCTAGAAAGACAAAGAGTAAGGGGAAGACATGGCTCAAGTATACAAATGGTTGAAAAATATAACAAAGAGGGATATAAATAAGGTTTTATATGCATCAATTCAAAATAAAATACAGAACAATAGATAAGTTTGATTCAGGAAAGACTTCAATAAATACTCAGGGTTGTAAATTTATTGAATAAATTACTGTGTAGCATGATAGACATAGGATCACTGGATTGTTTCAGGTATAGGTTAGACATACACTTTTATGAATTAGTTTTGGTAAGATATAAATAAGAGCTGCTTTATATGGGCCAATAGGCCTTCTGCAGTTTACTTTATTCGTATGTTTTAATGTGTTCATAAGATTCTTGAAGGAAGGGTTCCTTAATATAGGAATCTAAATATTCAATGCAACTAATGATGAGTCCTATATTTGATATACTGAACATACACATAAAGTCCCACAAGACAACTGTCACAAATGACTCCAGTCCTGTAAACTGCTTGTGAAAAGGGGTGAATTTTTTTTTTTTTTTTTTTTATCATTCCCGGACCATTCTCAATTGACTTGAGAATGGTCCAGGACGGACCGAAACATCATTGTCCCTTCACCTTCTAGTGTGTGGTCTGGTCAACATACTTTAGCCACGTTATTGTGACTCATCGTCTGCATTGTAAATGTTTTTGTATACTGTGCTGTAGTATAATGTACAGTATAACAATTCACAAGGAGCACTTTACACCTGATCTTATGAAGCTGGTGGTAACTGATATAATGAATGGGTGTTACATTTTACAAATTTATTAAATATGTATAACCCTCTTTTGCTCTTATTACACATCAGTTTTCTCTGGGCTGATGCCTCACTGCCCCACGAAAGTGGGAAACGTAATAACACTGCAGTGTGTGTGTGTATGTAGGAGAGGCTGCCTACTGGTAATACAGTTTTATTTTGACAAAATTTTACAAGATACATTACTAGTTATTATAGTATTTCATAATCTAAACTGGATTGGAGAAACAGAAGAAGGGAGTTAGTGTCATAAAGAGAAAAATGGGAGGATGAGACCATATAATTATATATTTGTTTTCTGCTTGGAAGTTTATCCTGGGACATCTTTCCTGATGCAGTATTAAAGAATTCAATCTCCATTTATTTCTAAGGTCTCGTGAACTACAAGGATTTTTGGATAGTATTAGACGTGGTCAGGAGCAAGTTTTAGGGGATCTTTCGATGATTTTGTGTGATCCTTATGCTATCAACTTCTTGGCCAACTCTGTTATACGACTATTGCAACACCTTATGAATAATGAAGCCATGCCAAGGGTAAGTTAATGTATCTAGTTTCAGATTGTGTATGTGCTTATATTTATAACTGTACCTCCTGTTAAAAGAAAATTCACCTACAAATTTAGGATACATTGTACTGAAATAAAAAATCATGTTTCCTTGAATATTACTAATCAACTGCTTTTCTCTTCAGCCAGATATGAATCTTTACTAAAAAATAATTCAGTGATATATAGTGGAAGAAATGAGATATTACTTTTATCGAGGTCCCCCCAAAGACAAACAACTGACCCTAGGATACAACTCCACAACAGCTTCCTAACTCCAGGATATCTAATTACTGTACTGCTAGGTGAAAAGAAACTTGCTTAACTATTTCCATTCTGCCCAAGAATTGTACACAGGATCTATGATCCTGTGTTCAAGTTGGCTGTACTATGAGACACGTGTGTGTGTGTGTGTGTGTGTGTGTGTGTGTGTGTGTGTGTGTGTGTGTGTGTGTAATCTAACCTAAATATTCTTGCTTTTCAGGAGAATTCTGTATTGGTGTTAATGCTGCGAATGTTGGCATTAGGATTACACAGTTGGGATATGATTGAGAGTCAGGTAGGTTAATTTTCTGTTTATTCATTTTGTTTAAAAGTAGATCAAAATGCGTTTCATAGCAGAGGAGTTCCCCCCCCCCCATTCCCTTCTCTCCCAAATTTCTATTTCTCTTGTCATTCTCGTGATTCATCTTAGACTATCATCAGAGCCAATGATATTTTCCGAATTGTCACTATCGATCAATTCTGTGTACAGTATGCTGTATATGAATATACAGCCACATAATTTTTGCCAAAATATAATTTTGTAATCATTTGCAGTTATTTCGAGAGCCTAAGCTGGACCCTCAAATTGTTACAAAATTTTTGCCAGCCCTGGTGTCTTTGATGGTAGATGATGATGTAAGAAGATTTAATGCCAAGCTACCACTGGATGAAAGAGAATCTGCAATCACCATTATTGAACATTCTGGTAAGTACAGATGTTTCAGCTATAACACAGCATTTTAGTAAAATATATATTTTGGGAAATCTTTGTTTAAAAACACTTCACTTGTTGCCATGTTTACAGACTGTACCCACATGACCACTCCATTTTTGAGTTATATCATTATGCATATCCCCCTTCCCCCTTTTCTGTTTTCTCCAATATACAGTCAGTGTTTGTTCAGTGTTAGGTTGTATGTTGACTGACTCGGGGCAGTTGAGCATGGTTCTGCCATCTTGTGGCAGTTGGTGGTCTTCATTAGGCTGCCTAGTCAGTTGTAGTGAAAATCTTATTTTTGCAATTAACAGCATTGCCAGTCAAATGCTTGGAATGGTAATACCTCTGAAGGTAATTTCTGGGTTTGATTGATTCAGTTCTCCAGTGACTTCCTCGTCATAGTATGGCCCTCAATGGATGCTTGCAGGTTCCCTCTGGCACCATGCGGTATGTCACCCTTGCTTGACTGCATAATATGTTCTCAGGACACAGGTCCTGAGATCAGGACCCGAGTCATGTGTCTTGGACAAAGGACACAGATTTTTCATAAGGAAACACCCAAATAACATGGCTGTGGAAGTCTCAGTCTTTATATCTTTTTAACTTTGGAATTTTCTAAACTATTGTGCAAAATAACTTCTTTAAAAAATTAAGATTTATACTAGAATTTCATTAGTTGAATTTGAAAAATTCTAATAGCATGTGTTCTTGAGTAAACCACTTTGTATTTTACATTACAGTGCACAGCACCTGCTTATACTACAAATGCTAGGTCATGAGTCAGTGTATTGCTTTATATAAAAGTCAAAGATTTTCATATGGTAATATTAATTATTACTTGACCAGCTTCTAGTGAATTACCCATTACTACAAAACTCATGGTGAATTATGCTATCAACAGGTCCTCCTCCAGATGCGTACCAAGCTTATCTCCAGGAGAGTAGTGTTGCTTGCATATTGGCTATGTATTACACCCTCCATACTGCCACTCGCAAGGACAAGACTGCTCTCATGCGCGTGTTGGGAACACTTGCAACGTGTCACCAAGACAGAGCTTTTCAAGACACCTTTCTTCATTCCTTGGTTAGTTGATCATGTTTTGCAAAACTTGAAACATATAAATTCTTCTTTTTCAATGTTATTTTATATATTGTATTTTGAACAAATGAGGTAAATTAGGGAAAGTGGGATTGTCTGTGTTCCATTTATCAAAATGGGCACAAACACAAGGTTTACTGCAGAAATTTGATAAGGGACATCTTGTAGATGATGCCAGGTCAGGGTAGTGGCCTGGAGCTCCACTGGAAAAGGAAATCAAGACTGTTTCCACAACACCAAATTAAACAATGTTGTCACTGTTGCTCAAAATGCTAGTGAGCATCTGGGGATGAATTATGGTTTTTTCCTGCTGGGTATCCATATTATAAGCATGTGATGTGAAGATAGAACATTTGGTTATGTCCCATGACACACTTAACTTGATACAGACAGTTTAACACATTCTCAAAAGGTAACTTGTTACAAGTAATGAGCTTCTGTATTAATGATTGTATGAGAGAGAAACATCCAAGCCCGCTCATTCATAGCATTTAATGCCACATCCTTTCACAGGTAAAATCATGCTATGTTTATTAACTATGTACCACTATGGCAGATACACAGATTTGAGTAATGTGTAATGAATGTGTACTTTTCTAAGGTTCACATTTACACCATAACTTCATAGTGAATTTGAAGATTGACTTTTATGATTTAATATTTTCTTACAGCATTTTAGGAAGATGGAATAACATAATGAAAGCATATTATGATGAGAAATAAAGTGTGCAACATTCACTGGCAGAGTGATGCAGTTGGGTCGCAGCAGAAAGATCCTGGGTTCAATTCCCGTGGCAGGACATAAATGTTTGGGTAGTATTTTCTTAAACATGATGAGTCTGTTCACCTAGCAGTAAATAAGTACAGAGGCAATGGTTGTGGGTTACATTCGTGGGAAGGTCAGTAGTTAGCTTAGGGTAACCATAAGATGAACCGTAATTCGGTGTAGAAGGGTAAGTTGAGCTCTATATACAAAATAAATATGGCTTCACAAGCCATTCCAGGAAATTATGCTGGATAAATGATTCAGACTTACATCACTTTAAAAGCCATAATGATGGATTGAACCAAGTCCTTTGATTATTTACTTTTATTCCTTATTATTATTATATGAAATAAGCTTCCTATAATGATTTTGTATATATTAATATTAGGTTTTATAAATTTAATTAATTAATGAAAATTGAATTAAAATGTAAGGCAAGGTAATTATCAGGAGAAAGCATTAAGCCAAATTAATATCTGTCATGGGGACTAAAAATACTTATTTACTTTACATTTTTATTAGTACAATAAAGTTCTTTGCTTTGCAGGTTGCAGCATTGATCCCCATGTCAGATGACTTCACAACAGAGGATTTCTGCACTGTAGTATTTGATGAATTTTTCTTTACAAATATCAACCGGGAAAATGTCATGCGACATGTAATGAAACTAGTGTGGTACATTCACCCAAAGCTTCCACCTGCTCGCCTTGACACCCTTCAAAAGGTTCTTCAACCTGGACCTCATCAGGTATGTAGCTATATCCATCTTCATTTCTACTCTTACGGGCTATTCATGCCCGTGCCACCTCTTGGGTGGCTTAATCTTTATCAATCTTCATTTCTAAAATAACATAATCTGTTGATTTTGTTAAGAAAACTTCAGAATGTATAAGGAAAATTATATGTTATTTTGTAAAACGAAATATCTTATTGCTTGTGGAACATGAGGAAAGTAAATGAAGACCAAAAGAGGATGGAATTAATGAAAAATTTTAAGAATGGAAAGTTTGATGTGCAAGGTTTATAGGAAATGATTCTTAAAAGAAATAAGAACAAAGAGTGAAATTAGGCAAGAATTTTAAGAACTAGGTTGAGAGAATGGTAGGAGTATGACTTAATAAATGCAGAGCAGTATGAGGCAATGAACTGCACTCGTGGTACAACTGTTCAAGATGCACGCACAGTATGCTAAATTTTAGCTGAAAAGAGGCAAAGGTGACTGTGGTGACTACATATGCTAGAATTGTTAAAACTATGATTAAAATAACTATTTTTGAGTAGTTAATATTGATTGGTATGATATCAAAAAGTTACAAAATAATTTTTGGGGATGATTATAATAGTAAAGTGGGAAAAACTAAAAAAATTATAATGAATATACAGTGTGCCAGAAATTAATTATAATGTCTACAGAGTTAAAGATATGTGAAATGAAATTATGTATTATTAGTGCACATTTTAAATGCAAGTAAAGTAGCAGATGTAGAGAAACACCATGACACTGTGCTAGTGGAGGAAATAGAGGAAAGTATCCATTTTATTGATGACCAGACCACACACTAGAAATTGAAGAGACGACGACGTTTCGGTCCGTCCTGGACCATTCTCAAGTCGATTGTCCAAATAGGCAATAAAATATCCATTTTATTGCCTATTTGTTGATAGTACAATGTTTGTGATTACATAAGCCAAGATAAATATCTTGAGGTTTGTCTGATTTTATTGATGTTGTGTAGAATATTATTAAATGGTAATTGGACAATGAAAAGAGGTAAGTGCTGAAGTATGGGAATGCTGCAATCTGTGATGAGATATACCCTGTACCAGTTTATGTAGTAAATCTAAAATCCTGTCAAGAGAAGGAAATTTAAGGAGTTTCAACAATTTGCTTAATAAAGGCAAAGTGTAGTTTGCAGTGTATGCCAGAACAGTGACTGGAAGAGTTCAGGATATAACTGAATTTAATTACTAACGAGCAAGGCAGAAGTGGATCAAATACTTTATACAAGTCTTTTTATTAACTTTATAAGAGTTGATGGAATCTTATTAAATGCTGTGATCTATTTCCAAATGTCTTGCATATACAGATACAGTATAGGATTTCTGGTATATCAGTATCTGATGTGCAATACTAGTTGCTAACATTTGATTTTTTCTTAGGGTGAAGCAATTCAGGCACTCTATGAGAAGTTTCAGACAAGAGTGCAGGAGTTCCAGGATGTTCAGAATCAGCCAGCACCCATGAACGAAATGGACTCCCCACTCATGGCTGTGCCCACTCCAGCCCCAATACAGTAACAGCCTAGGTATTTACTACATCTGTGATGCCGTGTTCCCTATGGGAACTCCTCTTACATGTGGAGCCGATCCATAATTCTTTCCAGACAGCTGCTCTCGAGTTGAGGTTTGAGAAGTGAAATCTCTCCATGATACAAGTGGCATTCTCATGGGCAACTAAGCCTATCTAAACTATAAAACTTCCATGTGGGTGTTTGTCACAACTTTATTTTCTAAACATTAATAGTACTATACAGTTTAAACTTAATGTATCAAAATTGTAGTGTGCACTGTAAAAAAAAAAATAGTTATGGCTAAGTAGCACATGGAATTGTTTGTAATGTTTAATTAAAAATTTCAGCGTTATATTCAGATATAGGTTATGACATTTATCTTTATATTTTTCCTTCTAACATATAGACTAGATGAAAACTGGCATTTTTTATAAATACAGGATGATTGCACACTATTAATAAATGTATACATCACCACCGACTGAAAAGAGCATTCAAAATATCATGTTGCAATTGTGAAACATGTATCATATGAAACTGTTCTTTGTTCATACTGGTGTAGGGGAAGGTGCTGAAGTAGTGCAGAGTCCAGCCTGGAGTCACCTCTCAAAAGGTCAAACACTCAAGTCCCTTGCGACATCTCTAGTATTGTCAAGTTAAGCTCTTACTGCCACAAGATGACAGTACTTAATGACTGGGCCAGTAAGACTGGATTCAATTATGGTATTTTTTTAATCCTTTGAAGCTATACAATGGACCCATACTTATTTGTACCTGTACTCACTTCTGCAGTACAATGTTCATATGCATGCAAAAAAGTTAGCGTGTCTTCATTTAAACAATTGCTGAACGAAGCCTATTTATCAGCCTTGTAGAAATTTTAGCCCAATTTTTTTTTAGTTTTTTGTCTGCAATCAAAACTTACCTTTTTATGTTGATTGTACCAGTATGAATCCTCAAACTTATCAGCCAGTACCTTCACTCTCCAGCTGTAATCATTTGTTGATATGAAAGGCTAAATTGGTATATAAATAGCGAAGTACAGTATATTGATATTACTGTACTTAAACACATTTTTGTACATATCACTTGCAATAAGGATCCCAGATATATCGATAAAAAAGACAACATTCCTAAAAATTCTGACTGTAAATACAATCTGGAACAAATTGCATTGTACATTAAATTGCTTTATCCCTTCATAAGACTTTTTTTATACACAAGGGGATGCTCTTCTTAGAAATATTTGCCATTAATAAGTAAACAAATGCACAAGTAATTATCAAAAAGTGGTGCTAAGCTTAGAAGACCAGTTAGCAAATCTTGTAGTGGTGGCATGTATTCTCAACTCGCAAAATTTTCAACTATCCTAAAAAATTGGGGCATTCTAAAAGAGAATGCACAATTAAGTGGGTCAGTGCAGCTCTGACAGTAAGGTACATGCCTTTCTTCCATCAAGTGCCGATGAAATAATCATATGTATCCAATACATAATCTAGCCAGACCATATCTCACCTGCTATAGTAGCAAGAATAAGGCTACAGTGTTAGATCATATTTAATAGTGCACATTTGTTATCCATAACACCTGACAGAGTAAGGAATCTGTTTCTGGGAGATAGGATAGGCATGAATGTTATCCAACAGATCATTAGTGGAAATACCATTGTTGAATGATCATGGAATGGGAGGAGTTTAATGGCTCCAGGGCTACAAAGGCACTGGAATTTAACCCAACAAATGAGAAACGAATGTTGGCATATGAAAAGTAACCTGTGAATAGAGTATATAATTGCATAAAGCTATGCCATGAAACTGCTTGTCTCTGGTAAAAGACAGCACATGTAGACTTCATCAGGAACAAATAATGGACCAGCCAATGTCATCAGAAGACTGACCCATTAGTAAACAACAGTAGTGCACAAATAGCAGTGAAAATTTTCAAATAAATGCATTTCATTACTTTAAGTGGGGGTAGAAGCCTTCACACTGATGTGAGCGTTACAAAATTTCACAAGCGGGACCTTTAATGTGCGCAACAGCCATAATCTAGTTTAGACAGCTGAACAAATACACACTGGTGTCATTAATTAATACAAGTGTAACTCTCGAACCCTATGGGTCATGTTGTTAAACTGACACAAACACTAAATGTCACATGGCATCGACTAGGGCATCCCTTGGAGAACATGATAAAAAAAGGAGTGAAACAAAACTATAGATTGATTAATCATAGTTTATACTATCCAGCAATGGCTCACATATGAATAAACCTTTACTGTATTTGTGCACATTTATGCTTCTGAAGGTTATATTATACACTTATCAATGGTGGCGTTATAAATTGGCGCATTATTGGCTTTCAAAATTACAAGTTAGTAATGTTTAATTCTGTAACCTAAATAGTCAATGCTTGCTTCACCATGTCATTATAAAAGTTATGTTTATCACAGAAATATTAATGCATTATCTGGATAAATGTTGGTTCACCAATACTTTGCAACCATTATGCTATTGGTGAAGACTCGACACATGCTGGAGACTCCTAAGGATGAGGCTAAGAGTACCATGTTCTTTGACTTAAGATATAAATTAAACAAAAATTGATTGTGAATAAATGAGTAAACCAACTCAACCAATATATAGTTTTTCCTGGTTGTTGCACAAAATCCTAACAGCTCTCCCATTAACATCAAGCTACAATTAATGTTTACAAACACACAAATGTGGAAGGTTAATGTATACTTTACATAATATGAAAAGATAAATTAAGTGAATCTTCATTAACAACAAATTTAGTAACTTAACATCAATCCTTCATTAGTACATTATTTATCAGTAATGGTTTTTCCTTCGGTTTCAAAGTTTGTACATTCATTACCTTAATTAACACAACCATGGATTTCCTAGTACTAATAACCTTGACCTGTACCAACATTATTACCTCCAAGTCCAAACCTAAATACAGCTACTTGTTTCAAATTACTAAAATGAACAATGTCACAGTTGCCCTGACACACTCACAATAAGATTCCTTGATCAAACGTAAACAAATATAATTATGGAACATTTTGGAGGCAAATGGGTGTAGGTATAGAGGTAGTTAAGAATGTAGAAGACTGGAAATAGTTGAATACAAAATGCTACCTTTGCAATGAAACTGAGCAAATTAAATACTGTTCTTTTAGAGCTTAATTTGTTTATATATAAACACAGTATACTGTATATGTATGAAGTTACAGTACTAGAAATACTGTATTCAGCAGTCCTGCACTAACTGGGAAAACTAATTTATGATTACCACATTTCATTATATACATAATTATTACCTCATTTACCTTTTCCATGGGGTTGGACACTTATTACCCTAGGAGGAAAGGTTATAGACATTAAATAATAATTAATTAAAAATATCACTCGTCCACTCATTGTATTATTCAAAATATAGTACAGCACAATTTCAACTGAATACTACCACATTCCAGCAACTCGCCGTTTTATTCGGCCAAGTGTACAATGTTCCTTATAAATTATCATGTATACATTATATACAAATACATTTACTCTTACTCCCTTTTTACCAACTGTTTTCACCCAGCCTTGACCCTTACCACATCCTGTACTTACCTAATTGTGCTTGCGGGGGTTGAGCTCTGGCTCTTTGGTCCCGCCTCTCAACCGTCAATCAACAGGTGTACAGGTTCCTGAGCCTATTGGGCTCAATCATATCTACACTTGAAGCTGTGTATGGAGTCAGCCTCCACCTCATCACTTCCTAATGCATTCCATTTATCTACTACTCTGACACTGAAAAAATTCTTTCTAACGTTGTGTTCACTCTTTCAGTCTCCTCTTCCTTACAGCCACTCTTATTCATGTTTGCCTACTTCATTCATGCCATTCCTCTTCCTACTCTCAAATTTACTTTAATACCATCATCACTATCATCACCCATTCTTTCAGCATGCCAATACAATCTTTATGTGCTCTCCCCAATCTTGCAGTTTATTAAATTTTGTTCTCTACATTTTTTCATTCCTAACTTTGACTCTTAACACCACACATACTTTTTAGATTGTACTTTTCTACTTTTTTTTTTTACATCCACATCATTGTCTAAATACACAAAGTTATAAATATCACTGCTTCATGCGGACCCTTTCCAGAATCTAAACTTACCTGATTTCTCCTAAGTAGGGCTTTTATTGCACAACCAATCTTCTTTCCCTGACTGATACTACTCTCAACTTGGATTGCACAAATTCCTTGTATTCATACATCCCAGGTGTCTAGGCAAGGTAATTGTGAGGAGAAAGTGCTAAGCCAGTATGATTATATAGACCAGGGGCTAGATTCACGAAGCAGTTACACAAACACTTACAAATCTATACATCTTTTCTCAATCTCTGGCAGCTTTGTTTACAATTATTAAACAGTTAATGAGCTCATAAACAACCTCCTGGTGCTTCGAACAACAACAGTTGATTCGGAAGTTTTCATGTTGTAAACTGTTTAATAAATGTAACCAAAGTCGTAAAAAATTGAGGAAAGATGTATATGTTCGTAAGTACTTGCATAACTGCTTCACGAATCTGGCCCCAGGTGTTTAAACTGACCACTTAACCATTCTCATGTCTTTCCGTTCTCCACAACTTTACTTGTGCCTACATCCATTTTTCAGTCTTCTCTGTACACCTCAATACTACATTAACTTAGTCTACATAGTTTTAGCAGACAGTGGGCAAGTCATCTGTATCCATAACAGATGTACATAACAGATGTGCTCTAATTCAAGAGCACATTTTTCATTATGTAAACCAATACTCATATTAGGCCTAAACACATTCTTGCCTTGACCTTCCTCCATTTATGTATTGAATAACCAGAGTCACATCACACAACCTGTGTTTACTATACTATGTCAAAATCAAGTTTATTAATTATACAATTGCAGTGGCAGGGAAAATGATGAAAGCAGCAGCATTGTTATGAAATGTTTGGTTGAGCTCGTATACTGACCACCACACAACCGAGATTGGTGCTAAATAGGACATTTTACTCAGATAAACCTCTAATAAGTCATATTTGACAAATTATCCCATAAAATATTGTTTAGAAAAACATTATTTTATTTAATAAAAAATGCACACAAATTAATGGTTATTAACAATTTTTATTAATTCACCAGCTATATCCTATATACCTGTATTTATACTAAGTGCATGCAAGCATGTCAAGGAATCAGATTCACCAATGAGGCTACTGGGAAACGTACAGCTCAAACAGTGGGAAAGCAAAAGCTCTAATCCTGAAAATCACGACCAAATGTTGGTGAAAAAAAAGAGGCTGAGAAACCAGTCTCAAAGTGTATCTTAAATGTAAGGCCATAGAGGAAGGTTTGAAGGAAGAGTGGCAAATTGCCTCCAAGGCTAAAAGAATATAATTTATTAGGCCAATTGCATCAATTGTCATACACTTAGTGAAACAAAGGCTACTACAGGATTACCCACAGAAAATGATGTTACAAATGTAAACTTTCAAATCTACCCGGTTTATCAATCGTGCTGTGACATTTGCAAAAGCCAAATTGGGAGGGAGGGGGAGGTGACCACCAATTGTGCTCTAATGTTTGCCTTGTGTGGTTTTTAAACATACATAAAAGAGCTTGCAGTTGCAACTAGTCATGACAGTGGGACAAAAAACCTCAGGAAAAGTACCTTGTGTTATTGGTTATACAGTGGTGTATAACTTACGAATTTAAACCGTTCCTAGAGACAGGTCGTAACTTGAAATGAATTTTCCCGCAAGAAATAATATAAATTGAATTAATCTGTTCCACACTCCCAAAAATAGTAACTTCAAAATACATTTCATGCTTAATATGCACACATTTTGTACTATAATATGTACAAGTTATAGCTTACCTTTATTGATGACTTGTTGGCGTGTAGTAGACAGTGAGGTGGTGTGGAGGAGAGGTGTTACTGTTTGGAAGGGGAGTCTTCCTTCCATTATAATATCAGGCAGTGATGACTTCTCTCTATCCTATGTTTTGCAGACATACAACTAGGACCTGGTTGTGGCTCACTACTTGCTTGTCTTACTAAGAATCTGTCTAAAGACTTGTTTTCCCTATATTTTAACACTTGTCTGTAGTGAGACATCACATTATTTAAATGGTCAATGCAATGGCCTTTCTACAGCTTTATCTGGGCGAGTTTTTTCAACAAAACTTTGCAGTTCTTCTCATACCTGGTTGATGGGGTTCTGGGAGTTCTTCTACTCCCCAAGCCCGGCCCGAGGCCAGGCTTGACTTGTGAGTGTTTGGTCCACTAGGCTGTTGCTTGGAGCGGCCCGCAGGCCCACACACCCACCACAGCCCAGTTGGTCCGGCACTCCTTGGAGGAATATACTTCACACATTTTCTTAACCCCTGCACTGCACACCTGTTTTTGGCAAAAACTTCATATTGCAATTGTTAAGGACATATTTTTGTTTTTATAAATATTCAGGTAAAGTTAATGTCAAAATATTTCCAAACTCAACCATTTTCATTTCAAGACACAGAGTGATGAAACCATTAAAATATAGCCTAATTAAAAAAAAATTGTACAACTCTCAGAACGAGATTTCTCAGTTGACGCAGCACAGTGGTTAATGAGGAAGGGACATCCTCTACTCAACTATTTTCTTAGGTTGAACCTTACCACTGACTTTCTTGGGACCCATGGCATGATATACAGGCATACCTCAGTTTAAGAGTTTAATTGGTTCCTGGAGACGCCTCGTATTCCGAAAACTCGCATTCCGAAGCTAATTTCCCCATAAGAAATAAAGGGAAATGAATTAATCCGTTCCTGACTACCCCAAAAACCCCACATCAAACTAAATTTTTATACCTAATTCATCTAAATAAACCTACAAAACTATGTTCAAGTTATTACTTACCTTGCTGTTGAATGCTGTAGGCGTATGGAAGAAGGTGAGGAGGTGGGAGAAAGAGAGGAGTTACTGCTTGGAAGGGGAGTCCCCTTCCATTATCACATCAGGCAGTGAGGACTTCACTGGTATGCACACTCTGGCACATTTTGCCTGCATACCACTAGGACTTGCTTGTTTTACTAAGAATTTGTCTAATGACACTTGTTTTTCCCTACATTTTAACACTTGTCTGTAGTAAGACATCACATTATCATTTAAAAGGTCAATGCAACGGCCTGCTACAGCTTTATCTGAGCGAGTTTTTTCAACAAAACTTTGCAGTTCTTCCCATACTTCACACATTTTCTTAATCAAGAAGGGACATCCTCTACTGCCTCTACTCACAGCTATTTTCTTAGGTTGAACCTTACCAATGGCTTTCTTGAGACCCATGGCAAGATATATAATGACAACTTTTATGCTCAAATGGCCAAAAAAACGATAAAAAACTGTAAATCCTTGTGAAGAATTCAGGTGGGATAGTCACTGGACACGAGACACTGGTAAACTGAGGCGCGATCGCCATGCCACCACGCGCCAGTCGGCCTGTACACGTATCAACAAAATCGTGTCCCGAGGTAACCCTCGCCTTCCGAGACATTTTTGGAGTAAATCCTGCTCGTCTTCCGAAAAACTCGCATACAGGGACACTTGCATTCCGAGGTACCACTGTATACAGTATTAAGAACTTATGTTCAAAAACCAAAAGAAAAGCAGAAAAATAATGAAATTCTTTACAAAGAATTCAAGCGCAATCGTCACAAAGCGAGCGGCTCTGGTAAACTGAGGCGAGGTCATGCATGCCATCAGGAACCACATGCTCGTTTGATCCTTACATATATCAACAAAGTCACAAGTTGAGGCAAAGGTTGCAAGTCGAGTCAAATTTTCTGACAAAATTGGAGTTTTATCGTGAAATTTTTTTAAGTAGGGGGGATTCTTAATTTGAGGTTCCACTGTATAATGGGAAGAACTACCTCAAGTCAGACCTGTGGACAGACCCAGCATCCCAGATTGGGTTGTAAATATTCAATAAATACTTTACAAAGAATACCTGATAAACCAGGCTGTGATTCATACATCAGGCTGCTAGTATCCATGTCCAACAGCCTGGTTGACCAAACAACCAACTGGGAGGCCTGGTCAGAGACCAGGCCACAGGGTCATTGATCCCCAGAACCTCCACAAGGTAGGTAGATATATGGTGGGAAACAGAGCCCCTCATAGTGAATACCACTGGAACTGGCTGCCATGGACTGCCAGAGGGACAGAGCAGACTGAAATTCAAGAGCACATAAATCACTGTAGGAATATCGAAACCGTGCGCAAAACTGCAAAGGGCAAGATTCAGCATGGAATTTACAGGCAAGGAAATAGGCTGGGAAATGTAATGAAGTTGATTACTATTGTTGGTTGTTCATATCTGTCTATATAATTCATGTTGTGGATGTTGCAAGATTACTTGTCTGGAGAAAATTAATATCAGATAAGATGCCCACACTTTTATCAGCCAACTCCTTCTCCTAGCTCATTTTTATATATTTACTGTAATAATACTGTACATGGATTTTTGTTCAACTTTTAAGCCAGTCACCAGTATACAAACACTGTTCAGTCATCAGTAACAAAACTCCCTGGCTTTCTCCAACAGCCAACCTACCTGCTGATTACCAGTTGCTGATTTCGAGGGTCAAATTTCCAGAGGCCCAGTCTCTGATCAGGCTGTTGGATGGTAATAACATCTGCACTACTGTATATCAACACACTTCACTTTAGCATTATCCACTGTCTTTCTGTCATGTACCATTTTATCACTTTCACTTCTAAAAAAAAAAAAAAAAAATCAAAGATAGTTTTTAGCATACAATAATTACTTCAGTGTCATCTTCCTCATTTCATACTCTGTACACACTTTATTCCCTCTACTTTCTTACAAAATGTTATTACAGAATAATCTCCGAGTTTTCTGCTTACATAAACCTTTATTGACACTATCACACTGTACCTTCGTTTATTCAAAGAACTTCATGGGTTTTCAAACTTTCTAGACACATCCATAGATATTACCAAAATAAATGCTTGACTACAGCACAAAAAAGCAAAGGAGTCGATATATATGTGTGCTTAGGGTGACTGGTTGGCACACTGAAGCCTCACTCACACCTCTTGCAACTGTACAGGATAATTTATTCATACAAATCAAAACACAAACTTGTGAATCAGCAAAACCTCTATCCAGAAAGTGCAAAATTGGCTGTAGTAGTAATAAACAAACAAAAAACTATACACTCTGGCTGCAAACATAACCTTTGTGGCACTGATCCACCACATTGTGGCACTGAGAATATATCTATTTTCATTAACAAAGAATATTTATTAAACTATTCATCTTCAACATGTTTTATACCTTGGTATAGTTAAAAATATATATGCATTTGATTTACACGTTTTCTTACAATCTAAAACTGCCGAGATTCAACAAACAAAATAGAATTTGTATCTTCCACATGCCTTTATGCTTTCCATACGAAGTCGTCACATTGGAATGAAAAACTGGCATTAATTGGCAAGACAAACTTTGTACATGAAGCAAACGGAATATATCCAAAACAAGTTAATGAGGCATGTCCAAATACAAATTCAGAATAATAGTTATCAACTCAAAATTTCATTTTATATAAAAATGTTTATTCCAGGCAAATATTATGCCCTATAATACAAGAAATCAATACATCAACTACCAGATTAAACTAGTCTTTAAAAAGTGCCTTGAATAACACCAGATAACTTTAATTTTTTATATAAACATCTCAATATGATACTATAGTACTTCTTGGGCTATTCATTAAAAATGAGCAATGATCGGTGAACTTAACTACACAAATCATTTCTGCACACTGCCTTAAACAAAAATGATTATCACTTAAATGCACCTCTGCTTCATTTTACAATATAACCATTTATATAGATAAAACATGCATTAACCTTTAGCCAGGTTTTCCTGTTAATAGTAGTAATTATGGCTTGAAATACAATGTGCTATACACGACGTTAAGAAATACGGTACACCAAAGTAGCTTTGCCATGAGTTTAGCAGTAACATAATGGATGGTTTCAATTACTGATTGTCTACTTCAACCTAAGCTTCACCCTTTGACTCTCGCAACAAAACTGACCCTTAGGAACCCTTTGTAACATTTATAACTAACTCTTTTATAAAACAAAAGAGTACAGACATTACACAATATTGGAAGACAGATTATACATAAGCTATATTAATAAGCACATTACTGAGTACTGTACTGTGAACTGGAATGCTTTGGAAGAACAAGTATATAATTTACAGCAAATGAATGTTTTTTTGTATGTAGGAAAGACTTTTAAACTATATTAATGTAAATAATAATTCCTTGTGTTTACATAACCAAGTCAGAGGCATTTAGTAACAATATAAACAGCAATAATAAACATGCAGCAGCATTATGTTTACTAGTTTTTCCATTTGAAAAATAAATATAATATGCACTTTTAGCTGCTATCAAGAACTTCTCAACAATGATAGGATATTTTGCCAAGACACCAATTACCGAGCAACTACCGTTCATCAAAGACCATAACTTTGGAGGACGAAGTGCTAAAGTCAGGATAAAAGTCAGCCTCTCCCCCTTATTACGTATTCTTTTGTCGAGATAAAAATATTTCCCTGATAAAACCAAGGACACGGATGCACAGGATCTACATTCAAACACTAACTGTAATATGCTCTGAAAGCAACCTTGCTCTTATATGGCTTATTAGATTTAAAAATAATGTCCCTTGCCTCAAATCTGAAGATGCTAATTAGAATACCTATGAACCTTTATCATGCAATAAGATGCAACTCTATACACACTGTCAAACACTGCAATAACTACTGTTGTCAACAAAAAAATTATACTAGTGTGCAGGTCTGAAAATATCCAAGAAACTGAGCATTTCAGTCCTTATGTGCTTACAAATAATTATGTCCACCAATTTTAATTATGAAAAGACATATATAAGTGATGGAGTCTATGCATCAGCATTAAGAAGTGTGTCAACACACACTAAGAAACCAAGTCTTTCTAGCAGGAGGAAATACAGAATACAAATTGGTGCATATCTTAATAAGCGATACTGAATCATGGAAGGTTGTTCAATTACTTTACTTTTAAGTATTTATGCATCATGAAAATATTAAATAATTTTTTATTTCTCACGGAATAACAGCACAAAAACTTGCATACACATTATTACATGTTAAAATTATGTCACTAGCTGCATGATACAACTGTCCATTAGCTTGGCAAATAATCACCACCACCACCAGCTCTAACTTTTGCCATATATTGGCAAGATAATAACAAATATTTAACCAGACATCCAACTTTTAATTTTTTCCACACTAAATTTCTCATTAATCAATACCAATGAAAGGTCTCCAGGTATTCACATACGTACTTTACAAAATCCATGAAATTGTTAAATTTAGAAAAAACGAAAAGGTTTAGTACACAATTTAGCGAATCAACAAGGTACTCGAAACAAAAATAATAAAATTGCTACACAATTTCATATTTAATATTATCAATGCCCCCTATCTATTGGTTTGGGAGAGGTAGGGGGAGGCTTTACGGAAACATCCCAACATACTGTTGCTTGAAGCAGCCAAAACTGTATAAAGGTACAGAATATGGCTTAGCTTAGGAATGGAGTAAAGTACATATACGTTGAACCAGAACACTTAAAACAGCCATGTTTATTAAAACTTATTATTTATGTCATACAAGTCTATATCAGAATTGTGAAACATCTTTGTTATGTTGGGAATAACATACAGTATATTAAAACTTGTTCCTATAAATGTCCTTTATTTAACAGGACCAGAAACTTATTTGTTGCCATTTTTCACTAATGCATTTTGTAAATTAAAATCCTCATTTATATTTAAAAAGAGGCATCACCCCCAGATTGCACTATTGTGTATGGTTTTATGCCATAATTTGTTCACATCATACTACAACAAGACTGTGCATCTACCCCTCCAATAACCTCAGTTGGGTCTCCGCAAAACTTACGAGGTGTAAGAGATGGAGATGCTGGTGGTCTGTATGAAACTGTATCAACACGTACAGATGAAGCCGTAAATTCTGGATTTCGTCCATGAGTTCGAGGGTCATATTCCGGTGCAGTGAGAGAATATGTACTTCCAGCAGAGGCCAGAGTATATGAACTCTGTGATGCACGGGACATAGCACGCTGTTTCTTTAAGTCAGCCAGTGTTCCAGGCGAGAACGGATTGACAGTAACAGTGACATGAATGTCTATTTTACTCCCTCCTTCTCCACTGTGAGTTACCATTCCTCCTCCTCCAATTCCATTGGCTCCATTAGCATTGGTTTCGATTATGTCCTGCCGCGTTGTAGATGAACTTCGAGGGGGAGGAATGGGAGGCGAGGATTGATGGCCTTCTAATCTATCTTTTGTAGGGCTACTGGTTTTTATTTTAAACCCATTATTACAAACAAGACTGCTGCTGTCACTACCCGATCTCACTAGTAACTCTTCTGTCTTTGCAACTGTTGCTGAAAAAATTAATCAAATAAATACAAACCACAATGTTTAAATTTTAATAACAAACAAAAGGGAGCACTACGAGTCTATAGAAAAAATAATTACTTAATTTTCCACTTTCATACAGATAGGGAAGGCATTTGACAGATAGGAGTATACAGGTTAAACAAAAATTGCATCGAAGATATTCAAACATTCATTCCATTTACAAACTGCTGCCACCAAGCCTTGTTCCGTACCACTTATGTGCTACTTGCATGAACCCTGCTTCCTTGTCCTTAACACATCCAATGTCTGCCCATTTTGGGGGGCTTCCTTTCCTCCTATTCTTATATTCACTAATACACTCACCAGTTAATCACTGTCCATTCATTCAACATGGCCAAATAATTTCTATATACCTTCAGAGAGTAGACACTTCTGATGTCTGTTTTCCTGGAAGCTTCCTTCTAAGGGTATGGCCACAACAGAATAACCCTCAGGCCACCTCATCTAAACTTTGATCTTCCTACCTGCTCCATTTTGCTTTACTCTCCATCTACCAGCAACAATGTACTTCTATCATGTAGTCTCCATTGCTCTACCCCACGGTTCCAAGTTTTCATAGCTAATTCCTCAACCATTTGTCTGGCATCTTCTGTACTGCTCACAGAAGTTTAGCAGAACTTACTATCTTAACTCTTACTTAAGAACTTACTATCCTTGCAGCCAAATCAACCACTCTTCAAAACATTTCCTATTAGCAGGAATCTCACCCCAGGCATTGTGGACGAGAGCTATCACAACAACTATAGACTATTTCCAGGAGAGCACACACACATTCTAGTCTGTTAATGTATCACTACCCTCTTTTACATCACTAAACAGTAGATAGCAGATTCTATATTGTCATTCTTTAAACATATATATGTAAAAGAAATAAACTGATGGAGAGAGAATCCTGTGATAATTTTTAATTAAATAAAAATTCTGGAGGGTGGGTTAAGAAGCTTTTAATGGAGAAATGGAACCTGGGAAAGGCCACTCTGATGGAACTGTCTAGAGATGGACAACTTTTACATATACATTTACTGCCTATCTTGGCATATGGCACATTTTGAACATGCTGTTGCATATCAGTATAATATATTTGAATGTAGTAAATTTAAAGAATGCTAACCTGGTAATAAAGATACTTGATTTTCTTCCTCCTCAGGAATGGTGTTGGTTTTTCCTGCATCTTCTTTTTTCTCATTCTCTCTCTCTTCCTTCTTCAACTCTTCCTCTTCTTCCTCTACTAAAAGATTGTCCCTAAAAATCATAAAAGCATTAAGAATTAAAGTTTAATATGCTAGAAATATAAGAACTCTAATCTCAACATTACACCTATCATAAATCTATTTCCCAATTTCCATGATGTGAACATGCTCACTCTGTGAGGAGCAAGTGCCTCAGTGATTACTTTTGAGTGATTACTTTTCTGTGAGGAAAAGTAATTTAAGGTGAAGGGTGAAAAAACAGTAGCATGCTTACTCCACACCACGGCATCAATTTTGGCTGGGTTCATGCCCTGAACAAGGAGAGATGACTGAATACAGATTCTTGACTGCTTGCCCCTGTTCACCCGGCAGTGATTATGGACCTGGTTGTAAACCAATTGACAAGCCATGTTTCATGGAAAATTAGTCATGCTGACTGACACTCACTTAGGGCTGTTGTTATTGCTGATGTTGGCAGGAATAACAGCTGGGAATGAAGTCAGGGGAGAGCCCTCTCCTCCTTCCTTGACTGCTCGTAACCCACCCAGTGATGGAGAATCTTCCTGCTGTAAAAGTTAAAACACTTTACAATGGCAATCATACTTTAAAACTAGATTCATAAAGTTTAATTAACATATACACTTGCAGAAGCTATGCTCTGTTATAAATATTTCCTATAGGTCATTCTACAAGAGCACCTAAATTCATTTTAGTTAATATATACAAAATCAGTAAAAGCCATGTCTACAGAGAGCTTGAGCACCAGTAAGTGGGCAAAATTATACAGTGTGAACAAATGTTGTAAATGAAAGTAAAATAATATATGGGTATACAGTACTCCATGAACCCGAGCCCTGGCAAAAGTTCTCAAACAAATGTAAGCTAAAAGCAAACAAACAACTGAAGGCAGCCTTAATCACTCAGTGTTACAAAAAATCTGGTACCAAAATATTCTCTCTTCAGTTAAACAAAAAAGTTTGGACATGTAAAACTAATTTATTATAAGAGTTTCAGACTTATTTTTGATATAGGCAAAATAGCTTTGTTTCACTACAGTGACCGATTTTTCACAGTGTTCGCCTATGTAAGACTATAGCTACCAGTAGACAATCTTAAAATATTTTTTTAAGCGTGGGTATAGGATATATATTTATCTGTATCATTAGTTGTTTAGGTATGAATGAACATAGATCTGAAATAGAGGTAACCTGGTATTTTCCATAATATTAAAGAAAATTTGCAATTTAAATCATTCATTTGAGTGTTCCTAAAGATGGCCACAGGAAATGTGCAACATTAGCATACATACACTTCATCCAGCATAATGATTAAGGCAAGAGTCTTCATACCCTCATTCCTATAGCACAGTTTACCATAGTTGAATTCAACATTTTAGTACATGCTTACCAAAGGTTTTTTTTTATGTTCTAACTGAAGTCGTATTCTTGCCTCTTCTTGAGCTTCTTTCTTTGGCGTCAGTGTTTTTTCCCGAATAGATGTCCGGCGTACAGACTGTGTGCGTGTGTTTGAGTGTGTACGACGAACCTGAAAGGAAAATATGTTTGAATTAAATACATATTTACAGTTTTAGATAATTGCATAACTCATTATTACAGTTTTAGCAACCATTATTTACTTGAGCTATGAAATAAAGATGGTTAAATTATAAGGTTTCTTCCTCGGTTCTTAAGAGAAAATAGGAGTATTTCTTAAAATAAAGGTATATGCGGACAAGCAGCAGCCTCTGAAATTGTTATACACTATATGAGAAAGTGTACTAAATATTTTGTGATGCATCAACATTAATATATAGTCAAAAACCAACAGTGAGAAAAAGAACAACCTTGTAATTATCAAAGTGTTAATTTTGACTGTCAAGAAAACTCTGCTCTAATTACACACTGTATAGTACACTCATTAAGTGTATGGTATATGCAAGCATGTGTTTAATATAAAATAGAATAATACTACACAATGCTACAAATATGAACATTAGTTATACAGTATTGTGTACCGAGATTCTACTCACTTTTAGGCAAATAAAAATCAAAGATTCTCAGAACAATAAGAACTTTTTCAAACAATATAAGGAGTAGCAATCTCACCCTTTTAGTCTGATCATGAAGTCTCTTAGTCTCTTGTTCGCTGATGAGTTGCATGATTCTTTCTCGCAGCTCTGCATCCTCACATATGTCTGAAGAACATCAAATAATGTACAAATCAAATAGGTTATATTTTCTTACCTTTTCATTTTTAGCAAAGGTTAATACAGTACACACAAATTATGTGATATAAAAATATTTAAACTTCATTGAATTTATGTAATAACAAATTCACAAATATTTTTTATATAAATATGGCCAAGACACAATGGTTACAAGATAAGCAGCACCTACAAACAAAATAAAATATATTAATCTTAAAAGATTAGAATTAATTCTTCAAATTTTTAACATAAAAGCTTTGCTCTTTTCATAAACTAAATATAATTCACTCATTTGTTTGTCGACTTCCTATATCAGGCAGCTTTCATTTATATCCACCCCAAATTTATTGATATACCTGTACATGATTAACCAACATTAATATTAGACTTGTTTACTGGGTGAAGAACATATAGCCCTGGTCTGCCATCAGGTGGGGTCAAGACAACAAAATCACAGTCAAGTATAACATGTTGATCCTCCTCGTAAAGTTGTACAAACTTACCATAGGGAGTCTCTTGGTTTTTAGTACGAGCGTGAAGATTTGCCCCATTCTGAACCAACAGCTCTAAAACATCCGGCTGAGGAAAGAAAGCTCAAGTTCAAAAGAAGTATACTGTAGTACAAGAGTCAAAGGAGCTAAATACTGTAATGCAACTTTTAAAAGGCTAAATTTTAACTACAATTAATAAAGGAAAAATATTATTTGGCCTAATACTTAGGCCAAATAAAGAGTAATTAGAATATGTACAATTTTATTAATGAAGACGATGCAGCTCCTTTTCACAGCGAGAGATTCAAGTTGAAAAAGTTTTAATGTCAAATGTGTGCATGGGGAAGCGGGGACAGAATGTAAACTACACATACACGGGATACGTATATGGAAAGGACAGCAAGAAATAATTACAGTACACCAAACATACATGTCCCCAGCAGGCAGCTGCATGAAGAGGCGACCAGTCATCATGATCTCTTACTTCTGTTGGCACATTTTGGCTCAGAAGGTATTCCACCACTCTGACATACCCATTTGCTGCTGCTACGTGAAGCTGATAGTCAGGGAGAGAATCGGGGAATAAGAATAGTTACAACAATTGTATTAATTTTCTGGAAAACACCTTTCCTTATCTATACCTCAATTAACCAAATTAGGTGTTTGTATAAATGATTTTGAATTTAAAATGCCAATAAAAATAAATTAACATTTTCATGCTAAAAATTCATTTGGGAATCACCGTGACATTAAGTGCTACTGAACCCTATAGTTCTAGTATTTTGTTAAGCCTAAAGCTAACAATAACAATTTATTCTTATTTATTTTTTTTTTATTTATTTTTTATTTATTTAATTTTATATAATATTAATATATTAGTATATTTTATTTAATTCAAATTACTGTATTTGAAACACTGAAACCACAAACACTAAATATTAAAATACAGCACAGCACATACTGGTGTTGCTCCTTGGTGATCACGAAACATCAGACTTTGACCCTCACTCTTCATACATTTCAGATCAGTGAGCATTTGTGTTTCAGTAGCAGAGCGAGTCTCATCGATAAGTCGCTGGGTGACCCCACGGCGAGCCATCTCACTCTCAATGTAATCAAGAGTAGCATCATCTTCACATATATCATATGGCATGTTGCCATCTGCATTCACAGCAAGAAGATTGGCACTCCTGCAAAATAATTAGTATATTTGTCAACTAGCCTATTAAATAATTTTCAGTTTCTCACACATGAAAAGCAAGGTGGAACCCGAATGTTTAAAATATCATGGTTTTTTCCAATTGCCAACTAGTACTTTATATACACCTATGTCATCAAGTGTAAACTATTTCTAAACTGTATTGTACAGAAACACTTCTTTGTATTATGTGCATAACTCATCCTTTCCTAATTTCCCCTCTATCAAGGAATGGGGAAGGTTCCATTTAACTTGTAACACAAAATTATCTCTTAATCATATTTTACCTCCACTTCCTTGGTCATTTTGCTCTGCATGCCCACACCTATATGCTTTCATAATGTTAATCCCTCCTCATGTACCGATATCACACACATTTGTCAAACTACGTTGAAGTTCCAAATACTAGTATTGCATGGTTCTTTTTCCAAAAATGCCTTTCTCCTGCAGGTTAAGGTCTCTCAGTAGGCTCCATGGTCCAGCTCCACTCCAACTGCTCCCCAACGATTCATTGTCTGAATCGCAAGGGGTGATGATGCCCCTCGAGATGCTGGATTATGCATCTTTTATCTTATGGATTCTAGGAGGTTTGGCATTCCATGTGGTTCACTTTTGGGGTGTATCCAACATTCTCCCAAACTGACCGATTTGACTGTTGACAACGTGTCCTTTCATTGGCTTTGCAAGATGCTTGGTTTTCCTGAGGTGGACCTCTTCAAATTGGCATGAAACTGGCAGCTTCTGGTTTATGTGGCTCTTTCCTGATGGCGAGACTCTCATAGTGGATGCCTTTCGACTTGAATTGATCAGGGTTTCGTCATCTTTTCACTCTGATACAGCTCTTGCTACAGGTCCTGTCCAAACGGAAGATATTCTCCAGCAGGATTCTCCTGTTGGCTCCCTTTTGGCTGTCCCAGCTGTTGTTTCCACATTTTCCAAATAAAAATATTATTGTGATGTTAACAATTTGTTTTAACATTTTTTAATGTAAATGATAAGATCCACAGACTTCATAATGATGTACTGCAAGTGATATTAGAATTTGAAGACATGCTTAAAGGCAGTACTTTGAGAATAAGGACAACATTACTTTTCAAAAACAAAAATCATGATGCTACTGCAATTGGTCTCAAGACTTCTGTAATAACCTAACTGCAATTCAAACAAGCTAGCCATGCAATAAAATTGTTTTAATATTGCATTTGATTTTTTTTTAACTATACCTGTACTGTACTTTTTTTTTTACAATTGACAGACTTTTTAATGATACTCTACTTGGATTTCATACATCATATTTCCAAGTGACCAGAATTATAATATTAAATATTTAAAGTACTGTAATTCAGTAGAGGTGTCCTCATTTTGATACCAATGATAGACAAAATTAAAAAAGCTGATCCAGTACACCACAATATCCCAAGGCATGACCCACTCATTTGTGGTAGAATGGTCTAATGTGGGCCAACTCCAGAACTTGAGTACTGTAATTGTGTAAGGAAGTGGCACCTATATTAGCCAACATGTACGGCACAGTAAAAGAAGGCATGTTGGAATAATAATAATATTATAATATTATTTTATTATTATATATATATATATATATATATATATATATATATATATATATATATATATATATATATATATATATATATATATATCTACATTTGAGTGAGGTGGGAGGGGTGATGTGGCATTAACACAAGACAGAACAAAAGGGGATATTAATAGGGTATTAAAAGTATCAACACAAGACAGAACACAAACAATGGGTATTGAATAGAAGTGTTTGTAGAAAGCCTATTGGTCCATATTTCTTGATGCTTCTATATTGGAGCGGAGTCTTGAGGTGGGTAGAATATAGTTGTGCAATAATTGGCTGTTGATTGCTGGTGTTGACTTCTTGATGTGTAGTGCCTCGCAAACGTCAAGCCGCCTGCTATCGCTGTATCTATCGATGATTTCTGTGTTGTTTACTAGGATTTCTCTGGCGATGGTTTGGTTGTGGGAAGAGATTATATGTTCCTTAATGGAGCCCTGTTGCTTATGCATCGTTAAACGCCTAGAAAGAGATGTTGTTGTCTTGCCTATATACTGGGTTTTTTGGAGCTTACAGTCCCCAAGTGGGCATTTGAAGGCATAGACGACGTTAGTCTCTTTTAAAGCGTTCTGTTTTGTGTCTGGAGAGTTTCTCCAGACACAATATATATATATATATTGATATATATATATATATAAGATATATATATATATATATATATACACACACACACACACACACACACACACACACACACACACACATTACATGACTATAATATGTAGATTCATTATGGAAAATTAATAAGTTCAATATACAGTATATGTAATTTACTTAGCAAGATTTAAATAAATTTTTAATAAAACCTATTACAAATAAAAACTTGGCATATTATATAACACAATATATTCACCAAAACCTACTTGGCAATAAGGAATTTGGCAAGATGAAGATGGCCACAGGTAGCAGCTGCATGAAGAGGTGTCCACTTCTCAGAGTCCTGTGCATTAACATCAGCTCCATGGTGAACCAATAGTCTCATCATTTCTTCAGAATCATCAATGCAACACTGATGCAAAGCTGTCAAACCATCCTCATTTGTTGAATCAGGATTTACACCAGCTTCCAGGAGTGCTTGCACTGTTAAGAAAATTACACATTAGCTAGGGTAATGTTGCTGGTTCACAGCCACTTAAACTATTATTGTACTGTGTGTGAACGAGAGTTATAAAATATATAATGAATATCATTTTGTAGATTCATATTGAGTAAATTAACAAGAAATTTGCTATGAAGCAATACCACAATCAAATCCCTTAATGGAATATATAGATACAATATTTTCAAAAATACAGTATGTTTAAGTTCCTTCAGTATAAATAGGTGCAGTATATTATATTTATATAATACCCACTTTCTTTTGCAATATAGTATCTTTAAACATTAAAATATTAATCTGAATTATAATCCAGTTTCTGGTTACCTAGTGTTGGAGTCATCCAACACTAATCTAAATTTGTGTTGGAGTCATCTATGCAATTCTACAAAATATTACAAAAGAATTCAAATGGCAATAGTCTATTAGATGTAAACTGTGGTATGAGCAATTGTAACAAGATGATTGCCAGTAACCACACAATGGCACCTAAACAGACTTAAAAGGCATACATCCTTCTAGGCAATATAGAATGAAACCAAAAATATTGCCACGAGCACTTCAAATATAATTCAACATACTGAATCAAGAAAGGTCTCCAATTCAAATTTTAAATATTATAATATTCAGTATTAAATTTTTTGTATACAATTTTCATGTAAATCTACGAGAATTTAAAATTATTTGTAATATATTTAAACGGGTCATATTTGATTTAATTTTTATAAATTTTGATTTTCAGGCAGACCTCAAACAGGTGCCTCAAATTCTACAATGATGTAAAAATATTCATTACTGCAACCAATGACGGTGACACTTTTCAAGACCCTAGATGGGTTGGCAGTTCTCAACAGATACTGACAGACACTGCCAGACATACTCTAGGATTAGTTACACCTGGAGGAGCGAGGATTTAGACACCATTGAAGAAGCTACCTCCTGTTATATCACTATTTTTACAGTGAAATAACAGGTGGGTACCAACAAGTGATGTTGGGAAGATGTTAACCATTATATACAGTACTGTACTGTATTATTTTATATGTTTTCATTGGTTTTTAATCATTTCTCATTTACTTTTTCTTCAAATGATGTACAGTACAATATTGTGAAACCACAAATTAACAGTTTGTGGATAATGCATAGTCAGTCTAATGAACTTTCCCCCATTTCCTATTTTGTTGAAATGAGAAATGTCATGGGCATAAATCATTCTTGATTACTATACAGTTCATAATTTAATGCCAGTACAGCATATGTTATTAGTGTAAATTATAGAACAGTCTTGTGAGCACAATTTGGTACCAAATATATAAATACAAATTTTAATTATAAATATAAAATATTTAAATATTTAATTTAAATATTTTAAATTAAAATTTAAATAAATTATTTAATTTTAAATATGTTAGATTCTTAATTTTTCTTTAATTTTAAATAATTCAAATTAATTTTAAATGTAAATAAATTAATATATTTAATTTAAATTAATTTTAAATATTTAAATATTTTTATTTAAAATAATATTTAATTTTAAATATATTTTGCAGTTTTATGCACTACATGCTCGGGCTCACTCCACCAGAAATCTTCAGTTATGTTGTTTCACTAAATACCGAATTACAGTCTTGAACATCAGAATAGTATTTCTATTACATCTGGCTTTCAAGTTCACCAAGTTCCATTTGTGCGAGTCATGTACAGTGTAGTCAATACTAAACTGTATAATTTACATGAATGAATAATATACAGAACTGAATAATGTGCAGAATATTTATATACAGTGTACACATACGGTATGTTTGTAAAGGCACCTACCCACCCACACAATTATATAGTACAGTAATTGGAAAACGAATGTTAAAGATTAACTAACCTTCCTCAATATCGTTTCTGGCTGCAGCTTCCAGTAGCATTACATTACTGATAAACATGACACTCTTCCTGTTCTCTCTTCTCCTCTTTTGTGCCTCATTTTGTGCAGTTTTCTCTCTTTTGCTACCAGTTATTTCCCTTTCTTTTTGTGACCATTTCTTCATCTGCTGCATACGCCGACGTCTTGCCAACTTCAGCCTCTCCTGAGTGGACAATTTTTCAATGTATGCCATTTCGGCAATGAGCTCACTGTGTTCCATTGTGCGTTTTTTTTTTATGTTCACTTATCAAACTTTCAGAAAGACTAGCTTTGTTTGGAATGCATAAGTTTCTATGGAATGTCTTCAAGTTACTCGGAACTAGAGCTAGAGAATCATTACAGTCATGACTGCAAAAACCACAGTCATTCAGTGCAGGACTGTACTTCAAATTTATTAAGGTATGAAGTTTTAAATTTCTTAAAAGCACTCGTAGCACTCATTCATTGAACTTTTTAGTTTTTCCATTGTAATTTCAGAAATTTTGCTACACCAATCACAATTATGTGAAGTACTTGTATACAAACATCTCCACAGCACTATTTTTTGCAATTCAATAATAATCTTTAATGACGTTAAAAATAAAAACTGCTAAATTGCAATGGATTTAACATAGAATTTTTTCAGGTACAGTACTCTATTGTACCTCCATACCTTTTGATAATTCCACATTATAGGACTTGTGGAGTTCTTATTTTGTATTTGGGATACGTTCACATTTTAAAACTGTATACTGTACTTAACAGCTTGAGTAAAAATATGGAATGTGCCTTACAAGTATCAAATATATTACTGTACCATTACTATACACTTTCTGAGCTCTTTTGTACATATTTCCAACACAATAGTCTCTACCAGTCTGTGAAAACATTGGACAAGTGTTGCAGTTTCATCTGCAACAGCTTGTCTCTGGAGTTTTTTCCTGCAATTCATTATCAGCTCTCACATTTTGTTCCACAGTAGCCTGTTTCTGCATAAAAAAAAATGGGAAAAACAGTAAGCATACTGTATTTGACACAACATTCACGAACAGTGAAATCACTACTTTACTTACTACGGTATTAGTACTATATTCAGTTACAATTGGAGTAATGTTATCAGGCTGTAACAACAAATGTGCCAAAATCATTATCTCAAAGTAGAAAGGCAAAATTTCTACACAACATGGATTGATTTAGAACATCAAAGCTTCATTCGGTATAAGTCTGGGAATGGAGTTACATAAAAAAAATGAGCAGTAATTAAATTAGAACAACTGTAAAACTGTAAATTATGAATCTACGTATATTTTACCCAAGGCTGTGGAATACCATAGTTGGATATAGGGCTATAGGAATGTGTGCTAATTTAAAACACTACAGAATGCTAGTACAGTACTAGACCATCTAACAAATCTAAGAGTATTTATTACTCCAGCAGTGCTTGACAAATCAAGTCCCCCTCATCCCCCAAAAAAAATATATAACTTTTCGAATAAAGTACAGTACAGCAATTAAATATGAATGAATAAAAAAAAAATTGGCAATACAAATATAAATAAAAAATAAAGTCTCATCATACAGTAGGCTTGGTAACAAATCACAATCAAGGATCACGGATTAGATTCTGGTCGGAACTGCAATAATTGGGCAATTTCCCTTCACCTAATGCTACTGTTTCCCTAGCCAAACCGAAAAGCAAGAATGTCCGTGAGATTATCCAGGCAGTGCTAGCCAGAACCAATGGTTCCTGACATCACTAACCTAGCGACAAACATTATTCACCATGCCACACTATAGGCATATAAATTCATAAACATGGTATCAGAATATAAATAAGGCTCTATCAAAGATTACATTTCTACACACACCCAACCAGATCATCATGAGAAATATCCTAACTGAACATAATCAACATACATCAATACTTGAAGACATACTGCCAAAGTACAGCAGATCACACAAACGTCACTTGGGTGCATCCACAAGACGAAGACAGAACACTGCTGGCTCCCACTATGACTCTTGCCTTAGTTGACCAATGAGAAAATCAATCCCCCTAGACTAACACCTTGCCCTACATCACCCTACGTGGAATACATGTGTTACATTGGCTAAATTGTATTCACGCTACCTGCGAGGTTAAGTGAACTTTAGAGAAATGCATCTTTCAGTGACTTGCATCAGCCCAATAAAATGTTAACAATTATTTGTTAAAGTTAATTAAACGTCTTTCTGAAGACCATAGGAGCTTTAGAAAAGATTTATGCTAAAACCATTGAGCTAACCCTTTCAGTCATATTTAATAACAATACTGGAAACAAACAAATTGGTATACTGCACATACCAGTACAGTACTGAAGAAGAATATTTCCATTGAAAAGTTAGGAATAGATTAGATGCATAACACCGTACACAATAATACCTCATATAGTATAAAAAGGTAAACGTCTCAAGAAATAAACAAGAAACAAAAATAAAGAGGACTTGTCCTTCAAGAGTTTTTTCATGTACTAGAGCACTTGGGTCTTGGCACTAAGTTTACAGGTTTACACCTTTGTTCAACACTGACAATGGTTTACACTCCGTCACATTTATGGTGAGCCACTGTTACCTTATAGTATTTATGATTTACTGTATACTTCATAATCATTTCCATTTGTCTCTCAGATATTAGAGCCTTTCTCTATCATACATGCGAGAGCGTAAACCTCGAGCTTCATGTATCAAAGTATTCCTTCACGCTCCAATCACTTCAAAAGCAATCGTGTTGAGCAAACACCTGTTAGACAGGTGTCACACCCCAGGACACGGTGTCTATGCCAGACACAGACGTCTTGTGTGACAAAGACCGTGTCCGCCACTGTCTCCAGGAGCTCTGTCTGTCTGTCCACTGGCTGCTCAAGGGAGCCTTGCCACCACCTCCCACTCAAAGTCTTATTTCCACCAGGATCGTAACCCTGGGCGCCCAAGGAGCACCCAGGGGGCCAGACACCATTGGCACCCAGGCCGTGGCAACCCGGGGTGGACCTCCGAGCCCCCATATTACACAGGAACACATATTAAATGGTGTCCACCTGTTGGCTCCGCCCACACCACTGGTACTGCTGAGGCCATAACACCAACGGCTCGGGAACCCTCAGCCCCCCTCCCTCCATCCCTCTTCCTGCTCCCTCCCTCCCTCCATCCCTCTTCCTCCCTTCTACCTCTACCTCCCTCCCTACCACACAACCCTCCATCCCTCCCTCCCTCTCTACCTCTCTACCTCTTCTGTATCACTCCCACTATCCCCTCCCTCACTCCCAAATTCCTCCATTCCTTTACAATTCACTATATATTCATTTCACTTATATTTCACTAGACATTTTTATTTCCATATTGCAAATGTGACTAATTTTGATTTCCCCTCACTATGTGATAGTCTCCATTAATGTTCAAGTTTAAAATCAACTCCAAACGAGCCAACAGTTGCAATATGATGCAAAACTAACATTAGCAAAGCAAGGTTATATGGGCGTTATCAGTCTGCATATAACAAGAATCAATTTCGTTGACTACTTCATGTGAGCATGTATACTCACACGGTAAATAGTACTGTTTTAGGTATGTATAGGGACTTAGTAACATAAGACAATTGTCAAGGAGCAAAAGTTCTGAGAACATACGCTGGAAACGCACACCTGTGACGCGTCCGAGGTGGGTTAAATTATTAATTATTTGTATCGGTCTCCTAAATTACATACATGAATTTATAATTACATTTTACCACCTGTTAGCTAGGAAATTGTATATCAAAAGTTGTCCAACTGGTTTCATTCGTTTATATCTCTCAAATACTTTTAAGTTGTGTTCTGACACATTCATCTCACCGGAGGAAGTCTCAAGATGGAGATGCCAGAGGCTTTATTGCCTAGAAGTTTGTTTTATAGGTACACAATAAGTTAGCATATATTTTTGAAACTTTATATATAACATTCGAATGTCTGTACGGCTTTTTTCTATTATTCACCGAAGAACATTACAATTGTTTCATACTTCAGAAGCAAATACAAAAAAGTGGCAGTACGGCAACATCTAACTTTTAAAGGTCAACATTTGTAAAATGATTGACTTTATCGTAAAGAGAACTTTATTTATCCTTTTATTGTATGCGTTCAAGACAGCATTGCATCTCCGGAGGTGTGCATGTCACTCCAGCTTTTGCGAATTTTGTGGTAATGTGGTATTCGCTCAACACGTGAGCTGTTGCACTAACTAGCTAGCGAGCGGCCTGCAACACTGTACATGCAACTGGTCATATGAGTGCCAAAAATTGCAATGAGAGAATTAATAATGTGAAGACTTGATTATATATATATATATATATATATATATATATATATATATATATATATATATATATATATATATATATATATATATATATATATATATATATTGGTAGCAGTCTTTCTTTTATACATTATTGAATATGACAGAAAGGGTGAGCTTAATGCTTTTAGCACGAATCTTCCTTATATTTCTCACGTCCTTCACTTGAGAGGGAAATTGAAAAATTAATTCTTCAAAAGTTGATTGTACAGTTTTAATATGACCTGACGCAAGAGATGCGTTTCAGTGACCCTGGCAACAGGTTCAAAGGCCGAGTAGAAATTAATACAATTCCGCTGCAACCGAATATACAACTGAAAGAGAGGCGGAGCAAGTTTTCACATGGACCCATAGGCCAACTGCAGCCTCCTTACTTCCTATATGTTCTCTTGATAGCTGGGACATTATGTTGGACTATTGACCAGACAGTCAACAGTCCAACAGTCCTTCACACACTAGAAGGTGAAGGGACGACGACGTTTCAGTCCGTCCTGGACCATTCTCAAGACGTTCTGGACGTTCTGTCTTGGTCTTGAAGATGGTAGAATGTAACTGCGCAGTGCTAGTTGCCTCTTGATAGCTGTCTGAGTTTGTCTGATACGCAGTGCTTCGCCGATATCTAGTCTTCTAATTGTCGTTGTATCTATCGATTATTTCATTGTTGTTTATCAGACTATCTCTGGTGATGATCTGGTTGTGTAAATATCATGTTATTTGATAAAGCCTTGCCGTTTGTGCATTGTCAGGCGCCTTCAAAGAGATGTTGTTACTTTTAAAATTGTCGCTAGTTTATTGGACAGCGTCACTCATCATGTGATGTTGTCTTGCCTATACATCGGGGACGACGTTGGAACTAGCAGTCCCCAAGTGGGCATGTGAAGGCATAAAAGACATTCATCTCTTCGCTTGGAAGAGTTCTTCATAAAGTATTCGATATGTGGATCGTAATATTTTGCTTTTCGTTGTTCAAATATACAGCAGAATCGGGAGTGTTATGTTGTTATTCCCTTACCAATTTTAATTCTTTTTTAATTCCCTTACCAATTTTTCCCAATTTTAAAAGTAACAACATCTCTTTGAAGGCGCCTGACAATGCATAAACGGTAAGGCTTTATCAAATAACATGATATTTACACCTTGTAAATTTTAATAAGGGTCAACAAGAAGAAAGATCTTAAACAAGGAGTCGTAAAAGTCACAGACATTCACATGTCAAGCGAGAATAAGACACAATTCGAACATTTAAAGATTTAAAAACGCAGCAGGTATACTAAAGGTTGGACGCGGGTCATTGCTACACTTCACGCTTACGGAGTAACTGATAGATAAAAACATACTGTGCATTTTTTTTTCATTTTCATCAGAACCTCTTTCATATTCCCGATAGGCTACATATTTATATGTAAGCCTGATAACCCATCCTCCAGCACACGCTATAAGTTAAATGCTGACTTACTTAGTTTTAAATAAGTCAGTATTTGACTTTTACAGCAGACAGACAACCAACTGACAGGATGAATCGTCCATCCGGTATAATAAACGTTTTTTTCTGAAATGTAAATTAGTATTTTTATAAATTGTTCGTTTATGCATAGTTAGGTTAGGTAAGATTAGTTAAAGTATTACGTTGAATAAAGAGTGTTTACACTTATGACTGAAAGTGAGAGAAGCACTTTTCAAGTCATAGCTCTGAACATGACAGAAAATGCCTATTTAGATTTTAAATCACATGCTGACTTATGGTCAGTATTTGACTTATAAGTTGTGAATCTGCTATGACTGTATTATGATAATGTATTGTTTTCATTCATATGTAGTGTTTGATGGTTTATCACATATTCCAACACATTCCTTCTCGTCACTCAACTTATGTTCAAGTTCAAGTATGTTTATTGAGATAAGAAAGAAATACATCTCAAAGGGATAGAGTAGCTTAGGCAATTCCTACCCCCTCCCACTCAACTTTTTGCTCACTTTTTGTTTCATGGTTAATAAATTCTCTATCACCTTATCTTTCCTTGGCATTTATCACCAGGTGATCAGCCAACCGTGATAAGCACCGTTTAAGCATGAGGGGAAATCCACGAGAACTTCACATTACTTGAAACATTTCTCAACAATGACCACGAAAATTTGACCTATTGTTTAATGAATAAAGTGCTACCCGACCAGTAACACATTTGAACACATTTTTCTTCCAGACTAAAATTGCCTGCTTTGTTAGGCATTCTTCATATGGAACAGTTTTTTAGTCATTCTTCAAGTGGAAGGTACCTTAGTCATTCTTCATATGTAGGGTACCTATGTTATTCTTCATAAGGAAGGTTCCTTAGTCATTCTTCACTAGCATCCGTTTGATAGTATGGGGACCATAACTTTACAGCAAGCAAGATCTCACAAGTTCAAGGTAAATGGAACGATAACATAAGACCTTCTACTAGTGATACTTCAAGATATAAATCCTTCTACTGTATTTCGTACATTGATGTGCCATTATCTTTGTATCCTATTCCATCCAATCGTAACTTCTTTTTCACAAACGGATTTACCAATTTGTATATTGTTCAGAAAATTAAAAGAAAGTAGCAACTTTGTAATTTTCAAGGCCTATGACTCCCTAAATTTGGCTAAATTGAACATTAAATAAATGAATGGGTTTAATAAGGTTTTATACAGTGTATGGTTATACAAAAATAAACTTAAAATTTATACAAATATAAACTTACGATAGAAACTGAAGTACTGAATTAAATTTGAAAAAATTTAGTTTCAAAATAAATAAGAACTGGTTCAGAATGTATATGTGAAATAAGAAAGATTACCAAGTAGATGCCAATCCATATGAGCGTTTCAGGTATGGACTGGATAAATCTTGACTTATTTCCTGTATTCATATGTTCTTGGGTTTTTAGACTCATATGTGTTAATAAAAGTTGAAAAACATTGCGTGGCAAAAAATAATAAATTGGTTTAGAACATGGTTTACAAATGCAAAACAAAGTTAACATAAATGTTAATAAAATCTGAGTGGTCAGCACTCACATGTGGTATGCTCCAGGGTTTTGCATATATATATATATATATATATATATATATATATATATATATATATATATATATATATATATATATATATATATATATATATATATATATATATATATATTCCACCCGGTCATACTCCAATGCTTGTAACACGGGTTTGAATGCCCTTGTCCGCCCTCACCCATGCAAATCTAACAGTGGTGTAAATGATTAGTGCGCGCGGGTTGGAGTCCCGCGGTCGGCAGTCACTTCACTCGTATTGTTCCTTTATTCTGGTGTTATATTCTCCCTATTGAATTGAAATTTGAATGGACTTTTGAGGAAGAGCGGGGCGTGAACACCATGTTACCGGCACCACAGTAGGGGCGAGCTTTCCCGCGTATTAGGTAATAATATGGGTACCAAATGGATGCTTTCCAAACAGCGGCATGGAACTCATTATAATGAGTAAATATATCATATTTATTCATTACTAACGTATTGCCAGGAAGCTTTGTGAAGCTTGTGAAGCTTGTGGTAGCTTTCGGTAATTAGACGGACCCCTCTCACCTGCAAAAAAGAACAAAACGAAATGTTAAAACTTTGAACTATATAAAACAAATATAGTTCCTGAGCTGAGGGAG